TGGATATGTTTATAACCTTAAATACATTTACTACAGTTAATAATTCTAGATATGATATTATATTTAAATAATTAGTTATCTATTGGTCGTTTATTCCAAAAAAATCTTCAAGTAACCTTTTAGAAAATTAAATTAGTGAATAATTTGATGAATTTTTCCTTTGTGAAATCCCAACACTCACACTTACAATTAGTGTGACAACTTTTGACCTATCCATGGCAGGAAATGAAAATCTCTTAATATCATTTTAGTAAACTTTACAATGGAGAATAACAGTTTAATAACTAATAGTCCTACAATCGACAATCATTTATAGGTTAAATATTCAAAAAGGCCATCTTCTTGATCTGGGGTGGCGGTCATAAATAGGCTAAATAGTGGTAAAACTATTATATTAAAAGCCAACGTTTCAGTATTAAAATGTACTTTCAAATCTTTCTAGGCATGTATGAGCCTTTCGGTTGACAGAATGGCTTACTCCAATTTCAACATTCTTTATTATTAACTTTAGTGATGTTTCTAGTGGCAAAATTTATACCTTCATTCACAGTTCTATTTTCCAACACTGCAATCATCTACTCTGGAATCAGCTTACTGTCTGTGTAGATATAACTTTTCCAACTAGAAATATCAATAAAATGACATTACTAAAAAATGTTGAAATTGGAGTAAGTCTTTCTGACAACTGAAAGGCTCAGAGACTGAATGTGGTTTATAAAAGCAGATGGAGAAAATAGATTTTTATTACCTACCATCAATATAATAAATAAGCTTTTTGTAATTTGTATGGTCTTAATGATTTTTTATCTGTAAACTTTAAGCTTTAGCTTAAAATACACTTTAAAAATTTGATAATAGCCCAACATTGCTCGATTTCAAGATCTCCGAGCCAAGCCTTTCTCCACACTCGTGGAAGGAAATGCAGGACTCTAGGAGATCCCAGCTCCTCTCACTCAGCCACATTACTGGTATTAAGGACCAGTAGAGCCTGATCAGAGACGCTATAATCACACTGATTGTGCTAGGGGATTTGGATGATAGGTAAGGTTCTGGTGAAATGTGGAGAATTTTTCTGGGATAAGGTCTAAGACAAATGGGATATTAAGGTCATGGTGTTGGGTATTGTTGGTTACATAAAATGGAGCATCAAGTATTGTTCAAAGGTCTTTAGATTGAAAGGATTGAATGCTTTGATGTTAGAAAATTTGTTGGATGTTGTAAAAAATAAGTGGCTTTGCTGATGAACTAGACATCATAGGTAGATCATTTGCACTGATAAGGGATGCATATCTTCCTCATCTCATCTCTTCCTCGACCTTGAAAAAGATGCAGCAAGGCTTGGTCTCAATATAAACCAAAACAAGAACAGGTATATGAAGGTGAGTGTGGGTGGTGAAACAAGAGCAGATACAAGTATTCAGATAGAAGTGTTTTCCTTCCAATAAATAGAAGAATTTGTTTACCTGGGCACTCAGATAAACTCCAGCAATGACATGAGACTTGAAATTGACCGAAGAATAATGACTTTCAATAGGTGCTATTCTGGACTTCAGATGCACATAAAAAGCAAACTCCTTTACCGAACAACAAAACTACGCTTGTATAAGTCTGAACATAAGACCAGTACTAACCTACGGTTCGGAATAGGCTATATGGAAAACCGTCAAGTGTATAGGCAGAGAACCAATGCAGGAACTTTTCCAGTAGAGTAACGTGGCAAGATTTATTAAGATTGGTCGACTTCGCTGGGCAGGCCATGTTACTAGGATGCCTGATAGCCAAATTCCAAAGAATCGGAGGAGAATTAGCTCCTCATTGAACAACTATTCGGAGGAAGGCCAATTGGAACACCCAAATTGTGTTGGGCTGATGATGTAGCGGCTGACGGGAGATCCATATTTAATATACAAGATTGGAAATCCGCTGCCTTGAATAAAATGACTGGTGACTACTGTTATGGGAAATCATGACCCCACCTGGGTTGTAGCGCTGAAGAAGAAGAACTTGATTTATTTTTTGGAATAATCTTTTGTTCTTCCACAATAAAACTCTTTATTACTTTCTACATATTTTAAGATTATTTATAGGAATTTAATAAGTTTCTCATCTTAATATGGTAGTACCACTATCAAAGTGTCACTCCATGAATGGGCCAAGAACAGATGATCACAATATAAATGGGATTACGATAATAGCAGAAGATTGACACATTCGAGCATTTCGAGATTCCATTTATGGTGTGATGATGAGATGTTATGTAATTCATGAAGCAGAGTGACATGTTCTGTAGTACCAGGATATTACCTCTCCATCGTCAGCTCCACAACTTATACTCAATATCCAGTAGATCCGAACAAGCTAAATTCCTTCTTCGCTAGCCATCTCCCTTCCACATTTCCATCTGACCTCTCACTTTTTCCACCACTGAAATCCCCTTTGATCCTGATACATTTTATTTTCTTAATATCTCTCCCACAGACCTACTATCTGCCATCCTTAAATCCAAAGCCAACGATTTTAGACCTGACCAAATACCCATTAAAATAATTCTTTTGTTTTTAAACTTTTATTATGATATTTACAACTGTATTAGTATGAATACATCAAGTAAATGTGTACAGAGGAATATAATCACATGAAACACGCTTGTTGAGAAACTACCCATTGGTAGCACTCTAATAATTTGTCTACATGAGGAGATCACGAGGCCATCTTCTTTTCAGATGCCTTGGAGGATTATCAGGAATCGAAGAGGAAGCAAGGTTAGAAACAAGAGGGTTTGGATGGTCATGAAGTTTATTATGGAAGGATAGGTATCTGGATTTGGCCAAATCGGAAACATATGGAACATTGAGGTCTTTATGGATTATTTTATTTGTGACAAAGGAAAGAGCATTTGAGGATTTAATGAAGGATTTTGGATTGTAAAGATTGGATAAGAGAGGAATTTGATGGTTTAGTGGAGCCCCATAGCTCAACTCCATAAGTCCAAAGAGTTCTTATTATAGTCATTTATATGAGGTACTATTGGGCAGCAAGTCATTGGTTTACGACAAAGGGTAAAGGTGATTTGATGGGATTTATTGGAATTTATTTTAATCCTCCAGTTTTGACACCATTCTTCAAGGTTTATGATGTGTGATTGAAGAGTTTGGGATGCAATTGTTGGATCATTATTAACTGACAGGATACATGTGTCATCAGCATACGTCGTGATGAGTGTTAGGATGGGTTGGGATTTCAGCTGTATAAACTGTGTAAAGGATAGGACCAAGGATACTACCTTGAGGAACTCCGGCAGATTGAGAAAAGAGGGATGAATAGGTATTATTGTGATTTACTTTGAAGTGTCTATCAGTAAGATAGGAACTTAGGAACAAAAAAATATAATTAAACTCCGTCTTCCAGCCTTATTAACCGTACTTTTGCACATATACAATTTTTCTGTAAACGAGCTGTTGTCCTCCTCAGCTTCTGACTTCAGACCGATCTCCATTTTATCCAATCAATGCAAGCTACTGGGAAGAATAGTTCACTCCCAGTTTAACAACTTTCTTGAGCAAATCTGTCTTCTATTACAATCCGGTTTCTGTTCCCATTATTCTACCTAATCTGCCTTGCTAAAGATTACCCATGACCTACAATCCTCCATAGATAAACAAAAACTTTCTATCCTAATCCTTTTTGATTTTTCAAAAGCCTCTGATTCCATCAACCATAAGATCCTCCTTTCCAAACACCAAAGCCTGCCCATATCAAATAGTGTTCTAAAATGGTTCCACTCCTTCTTATCCCACCACTCACAGACAGTTGTCATTCCTAATAAATCTCCATCATCACCCGTCAAGTTAACACAAGGTGTACCTCAAGGCTCCTCACTCTCTCCGGCCCTTTTCTCTTTTTATATTTGTGATCTTCCTGACTTCATTAATCACTCCCATTATGCCGATGATTTCCAAATTTACCAATCTTTCCAACCTTCTGAGATGCCTGAGGCTACCTAAAAGCTACAAGAGGATATTGACTTTATCAACAGATGGGCAGAAATAAATGAGTTAAAGCTGAATTCAGATAAAACTAAGGCTATTCTCATCGATTCCAGGCATCTCATTACTTCTCTTCCTTACTCTATTTCAATAACCGCCCATCCATTTTTTACCAACGATCAAAAATCTGGGAGTAATCTTTGATCAGAACCTTTCCTGGAATCCATAACTGTCCTTAAACAACTCCTAACATTCGGTGATTCTATTCCTCAAAAAACTAGACAGCTCCTTGGAATCTCCCTCGTTTTCCCCACTTCGAATACAGTTCTTGGTTTATGGAGAGCTGCCTGAAAGATTGGAGATGAAAATGGAGACTTATGAACTGTTTTATAAATAAGATTCATCTTTGGAATTTATCATGTTTCCTACTGTTTCACCGAGTTGAAATGGCTTTACGTATTTTCCTTTTCCAGGTCCTAAGAACCACAAATCCTCCCTACATAATGGAACTCTCTCCTCACTCTACCCATTCTCTTAATCCCAGATATTAACCTATTGATTTATATATCCTTGGTCACTTGTGCTACCTCTTTCTGGAATTCTTTATATATCACTATACTGCAATCCTCATCCATAAATTCCTTCAAACAACTCTTATCCCATCAACTAATTCATTTTCGAACTTCCATACCTATGTAATACTTATTGAATTTTGTAATTACAATTGCTCACTAACAATTAATCAACTAGTCCCACTTGATTTTACGTAATTTATTTATATTTTTTTTTTTCTTTGTATACATATAAACCGTATAAAATGTGCTAGTGTTGCTTTGTTACTGAAATTAACATTCAAATGACAAGAACCTCTTTGTATTTTGTCAAGCCAGACTAATGGACCAATGATTATTCTTAGGTGACTTTAAGTCCAAGAATAAAATTATTTGTTCATTAATTTATTCATTATTTTAACTCATCTTCTCAAGTAATCTAGGTATTAATTTCAGGATTCTAATGGACTGTCTTCCTGTAGCTTATAATTTTGATAGCTATGTAAGGACAATTCTTGACTTACTGAAGAAATGGGCTTGGTTGTTCCAGTATAAAAATGTAGATTTATTGGAATCAGGAGTTTTAGATTCTCCTGAAGCTTCATATCTGTCATTGATCAGTGACCTGCAGTTAGAGGATTTAAATCTTGTACCTCAAGGATTTATGAAAGTAAGTAATCTATTTGTATTTTTATATTTAGATTATATTTGTATTTAGAATTGTTTGAATTTAAGTGTTAATTCTTATACCTTAATAATTAAGTTTATGGAATACTTGCTGTAAAACAAAATTGAATTAAAAAAAAAACTAAGCAAGGTGGTCACTCCATGATATCTAATTAAAACCTTGTAAAAAGAAACTAATTAAATGAAATATCTAAATAAAAATAACCCATGTGATGTTAAAAATGCAATAGAAGTGAAATAAAATTTAAATTTAAAAGTTTTGATGTTGGAACCATATACTAAGATAAAATAAAAATATATATCTCTAAAGGTGTGTTTAGAATTTTCATAAACTATGGTGAAACACAATGATCTAACTTAACTAACAGCGACATTATTGGTAAACCAAACTATTTATTTTATTGAAAATGACAGAAGATGAAAAATATACTAGCATAGTGAAATAACCATTTATATATTTGTTTGTCTCATAGTTTGTGAAGTATCTAAATGCGCCTTAAAATAATAAGTTGTGTATTGAAATTTTTTAATTTATTTTTCGTAATGAACATTTACAAGCTGGTAAATGGAATACGAGTGGGGCAGTTTTATCAATAATTTTTTTAATAATATTTATGAGCATATTATTATCGATTATACTAAGTGATTAAAAAATAAAACAAAAATTATGTGCAAAATACATTATGTGTAATTTAAAAGGATAAAAGGGATATTTAATTTGGCCTTTTGAATAATTACAATAAAATAAATTCACAAAAAAAATTGAAATCAATAATTTGATCAGATTTTCAAACATAAAAATTAGTAAAGAAAATGAAAAATTGATTACAGAATGAACAAAGAAATCAGAGACTGGCCCTATTATACTAAATGAATATACAAATCAACCATATTAAAAGTTTTATATATAAAGTAATACAGGGGTTGTACATTACAATTATAACTTTTTTTATTTATTCCATAATACTTTAAATCTTACCTAATTCATTGTTAAGTAATTTATATACTACAAAAATTAAGGCGTTTAATGAATAGAAGAATGAGGTTCAATTGAGTTTCTCAAAACTTTCAAGTCTACCCAAACATGTTATAAGTCAGTTTATCAACAGATGAACAGTCAATTTAAAGGGTTGTTGTATCGTAATGCTGACATTATTGTCATCCTAGAATACTATCCAGCTCAAAATAGTTGGCACTATTCAGGAAACCCCACTGTTTAGGCCTTATTTTTTTTATTCTCTTCCAACCCTGATTATAGTATGGAAAAGCTCGTTGAGTAAGGTACTTTGCTTCTTTTCTCAAAGTCCTTGGTTTGAGTCCAACTCTGGATCGATCCCTGGATTCAGGAGACCCTCCTGGGGGCCCATACAACCTTTTAAAGCTAATTATTTTTTAAAATTATTTCTAGTATGTATGGCCTGGAGATCTTAAGATGTTTCTGAGAAGTTGCCACGAATTAAAGCTTGTTATTCCCAAAATGGAGACTCCTTCTTCGAAAATTAATGTGGCTTTATTCCGTGGGATGAAGATGAAGAAAAGAAAAGAAGTTATTGCACTCTCACATGTGGTATCGGAGACTTGCATGAAATATGGGATCAGACGTGTTGTGGACATCGGTTGTGGACTTGTGAGTATGGTTGTGTATATTTTTAGACTGAGTAATTTGGATTTGTTTATTTATTCTTTTTAAATATCTGTTATAAATATTATTTAAAATTAAATTACTGTCGGTATTTGCGTCTTAGGCGGTCAGGATGGACTGCTATATGCCAATGTTTATAACCTGGATTCTGATACTGATAATACCTCTCTTCATATTCATACTTATGAAAATTGAAATAGACAACAACAAATGTAACAATAACATAACACTTTTGCTTTGCAATATATATAAAACAATTTTATTTATTTTGGGAGGCAAAATACAATATATATAACACTTAATACATACAACTTATATACATTCATACTTTATATATACAAGATATATACATGTGAAACACTTTTATTTTATTGAGTTCGGCTGGAGCCGGTGATAGTAACACATTGGTTCCACGTTAAAGTAAATTATGATAAGGATACGTTTGTCCAATCGAGCTGCAAATTTACAAGTGGACCGAGCCTTATACTGGAGACAAGCTTCTGAAATCTGGGGAAAATCGGGAGAGGATTTTCACTAGGAGCAGAAGGTAAAAAACTTGGTGTGCTTGCGAAACCGGGCTGCTTATATGGAACAGCCAGAGACCTGTCGTTCCCACCATGCCAGCCAAGATACCTCTAGCAAGGTCAGTTTCATCTAAACAGTTCAATGCAATCAATCTAGCCATTATCGAAGGAGCCTGACATACTTTGTTGTCAATTGATTTATTTGTTTATTAGGTTCCTTTTTTTCTTCTTCTTTTAAGAATGCATGTACTTTTGTAGTTATGAATATATATTGGTTAGACCAGTATTGCGACGCACACATACATTATCTAATTATGTATTTAAATATTTTTTTTAATCTATTTATATAATTTTAACTAATTCAAACTAATTAATTCATGTATATATATATATTTTTTAATTTAATCTATTTATTTAATTTTAGCCTACTGACACTATTTGATCTGTATTTTAATTTTTAAACTATTTATTTAATTTTAACTTTAACTAATTCACGTATATATTTTTAATCTATTTATTTAATTTTAGCCTATTGACACTATTTGATCTTATTTGTATTTTTAAACTATTTATTTAATATTAACTAATTCACATTAATTAATTCATGTATATATTCTTAACCTGTTTATTGAATTTTAATGTGCTGACATTATTTAACCTTTGTTTGTATTTTTAACCTATTTGTATGATTATATATTGATATGTTGGTGTGACGATAAAAAGATATGGACTCGGATCTATATAATTCTAAAAGAGTTGATGTAGGTCAGAGAGTATGGATTCTGAGATCAGAAGGCCCAGCCCAAGAAGCAGTGGTGGCCTCTGTGATGTATGTGGCCACAACGGGAGGCAGCGATAAAACATTCGTTAAGGTGGAGTTGGCAGAACGAAGAAGTCAAATATTGGGCAAAACAGTTTCAATAAAAAATGTATTTCCGAGTTTGCCCAATTTGCCGCAGACGTCTGGAGAGCCTAGTAGTAGAATAAAAGAAAGGAAACGAGAGCCGTCCTCAGGGATCAACGACAAAGTGTGTCCGATTTGTGGGCTAAGTTTCAAAGGGAATAGGCGTTGGAGTTGAGCATTTTAAAGAGACCCCGAAAGCTAATAAATATATATGCCAGAAACAAGTACTTTTGCAGTCAGAATGGTCTAACACCTTAAAACTTAACATCAACTATGCACTGTTGCTTGGAGACCCAGCAGTCAGTAGACAGTCGAAGAATGTTGGGTCTGGTACACCAGTCCATGTGCTGGGAAAATGCGGATATCGTTGCATTCTCCAGAACTGGAAAGCCGGCACTGGTCTTAGATTCAACTGTTCGCTATGAGAGAAATGACCTTGATCAGGCCAGTGAAGTAGAAAAAGAAAAGAAGGAAATCTATAATAAATGCATCCCTTTCCTAAAAAAGAAATTCTGTGAGACCTTCGGAGAGGGAGAGAGAGTTCATCAAGAGAGGCCTCTGATTTAGGTCTTACGGAACGATTCCTAAAAGAATAGGGAGCTTGTTCAAGGAAATAGGTGTTGATGTCAGTGAGCTTGCAGTGTTGGCCGAGAATATTATTCTGGACTCCCTTGGGATCATTCATCATCACATATATGGTAATTAGGGGTTGATAATTGATATTTATTATCATTTATTTATTTATTAAATTTTAAATAATTTAACTAACCATATATTTTTTTCTATGTTCATAGGATTATGTTACTTTCTGTGTGTGCTTTCTAATTTTCTGGTTTTAAAATTTTGGCAGTCGAATATCTTTTTTTTTTTTCTATAAATTTCAGAAATTGTCTTGTATTGGTTTTACCAAAATATTTATATATACATATTATATAATTGTAATTGTGTGTATTGGTATATTACAGTAATAATATTGTATATGATGACTGATATGGAAAAGAATTTGTTTATATATAAATATGTGATGAAGTATAATTAAGTGGTATGTCAAAAAAAAAAAGGATTGATGGGTATGCTGTGTATCGAGCAACCCTATATAGTAAGGCAGCACTGCTTTAAATAAAGTATTTCCCTCTCATTTATTTTGGCAGACAAAATAGCTTAATTCTATTTTATATAGAATCCAGGTGTTGTCTTGCAGTTCCTCGATGTTTTTTATTTCTCCACTTGAGCACCATAATCACTCTATGCGCTGAGTATGGGCCCCACTTGAAGGATCGACAAAGTTATACCAGTGATTCATCTGGAAATGGTTATACTTTGTTTCATTTAGTTGTTAGATGTTGTCTCCTTTCTAACAGTCAGAATATATGGCGCTTCTCTCTTTTATATTATTTTTAATACATTCTAATAAAGTTGTTGCTTTTCTATCCTCTATTTTTACCATGAAACACTTGTCTGTTTCTTGGCAAACTCTGCCAAACATCCATTGTTCAGGGAGAACTCTACCTACATGATTTTTTCTTTTAGAAGAAACACTGTCGTCTATTTCAACCACTTTTCCAGGCCCTCCAATTTGATCTGTATAACATGTTATGGGTACAAACCTCTCTTAAAAATCTGTTCCACATTACCACACCTTTGCTGGATAGTTTCAGCTGCTGTTTGCCCCACTGGATTGTTGTTAAATTATTATAAATAAATTTTAAAGTCGTTAAAAAGGTAATCCTTGACCCCTCTAACCTCGATCTTTTTCTTGTAGATACTTTTTCTTTCAACTGCTACAAAAACATCTCACAGAATTTCACCTTTGGAATTATCCCGACCTGAAATTATTTAATAGCTTCTCCTTCTGAAGACGGTAATTCCCAAAGTGTAATTATATCCATTTCAACAGAAGATAACAAAATTGAAAATAATTGAATAACGCACAAGCAACGGAAGAATAATAAGAGGTTACAGTAAATAAGAAGGGAAGTTCCGTCCCGACCGCCTAAGAGACAAGTACCTTACTGTCTACTATAAGAATAGAAATGTTAACATTTTATAAACAGCTGTACTAAAACACTTCCTCATTTATAGTTGTTTTCTACTTATAGCAAATTTACAAATGAGATGCACAAGTTGACACTTCTGGATAAAATCAATTTGATATCTATAATTATGAGATATGTAAATTAGCCTATTTTGAAATAAGTTGGTGTTTATATATTGATTTTAATCATTATCTTTCTTCATTAATTATTTTTTCTCACTTTTGCCCATAAGTCAATACTGGAACAAATTATATGCTGAAGAAGGGGACAAAATATCTCCGGAATGTCCAAATAAATATAATAAAGGAAAAACTATAAATTGCAAGGGTTTATTTGTTAAATTATACCTGCACACAAGAATTGAGGAGAAAATGATTTTTATTTATCATTAAATTGCTATTTGTAAATTTTTTCAGGGACATGTCGACCGAATCCTCCATCACACATATGGCTTCAAAGTGCTAGGAATCGAAATGGATGTTAACAAAGTAAAACGTGCCAAAGAGATAGATTGCTTTATCGATTATATAGTGGCTCGACTATCAGAAGAAACATTGTCCCAATTAGTATCAACTATTAACGATTGGCTTGGTGGAGAACAAATGTGCTTAATAGCTCTTCATTCTTGTGGTGATTTGAGGTGGTGTACTGTTCACTTTTAAACTTTTGTACTATATTGTCTATCCTTTTGTTCTATTGATATAAATGTGTAAATTCTAACAAATTTCCAATTTGATATCATTATAATTTTAAGAATCATATAAAAAACAAACAAAAAAACCTGTACCACTAACAACCCCTGAAGGATCTTGGGTTCAGTACAATGTGAGGAAGTACTGTTACAAGGCCAACAGTTGTGCACTAACAGCTGTAACAGGCCAATATATCGCTCAACCGCCAGGTTTTCCCCCTTAATAAATTATTTAATTAAGAATACCCTTTTATCCTGGATCTGCCCCAGGATGGTCTTCTGGCCCCAGGGTCGACCTACGGCTGATGAAAAATTACTAGTCATCAGCTGGATTTGAACGTGGAACCTTGAGTTATGGAAGTCAGAGCTCACCTACTGAGCTAGCCTGCTCCCTTTAAGAATCTTATAACCAGTGTTAAAATTTGTTTAAAAAAAATTGCAACCATGTGCCCCTTCAGCACTAGTACACCAATGTTCTGTAGACGTCTTATCAGACAATATAGGTTTCTGAGAACATTATAATTGTTATATACAATGGAACTTCATGCCCCAGACCTCCACTTAATGACCAATTCCTTGAGCTCATTAAAAGATTTAAGATTAAATGACATGTCCTTAAAACATCCGGTTATCCTAAAAATACACAAATATCTCCATATTCTTGTAAATTTGGGAAAATCTGTCTACTTTATATGGATTCCCAGTCACGTAGGAATAGTTGGTAATGAGCTTGCGGATATTGCAGCCAAGCAAGCCCTCTCGCTTCCAGGCCGAGGTGCTGCTATCTTAATACTTCCAAAAATGCATTTTCCTCCCTAAAAGGAAATATAATATAGTTGGCAATCTATGTGTAAACAGCCACCACCAGGATGCCTACACTGCAATAGCCCTCTCACAATCAATCATATTTTTTAGAAATGCCCTAATTTCTCTTCAAGCTTGAATAGATTATCTCTTAGACCGGACATATCAGTAAAATTAAACAATAATGAATCCAACATAAAAACAGCAATAAATTTTCTTAAAATCCATAGGCTAATAAATGAAATATAGAAATGCATATAATTTTTATTTATTTCTTTTTTATATATATTATTTTTTTTTTTTTTTTTTCCCCCTCTTCAAAAGAGTTTCTGAACTCAACAGAGAACAAAAATAACTGACTCACAGGCATTTATGACTCAAGGGTTTTACACCTTAAAGCCCAAACAATCATTATAATTGTGTCCTAATGTATAAGTTCTACTGGTATTGTTTTAATTAAAATCATTTATTTTGAAAATATCAATCTGAATCCATTATAATTTAAAAATATTTCTTGAAATTATAATTGAAAATGAAACCAAAGTAATTATGTTGTATTATCTATAGATGGAGCACTATGTAGTGGTCTGATTTCTTAAAATAGTGAAAGAAATTGAAAAAGCAAATTTTTAAAAGCTAAGCTGACCTCGTTTGGATCTCAGTGGGATGCTGAACAAACTTCTGATTTGTTCTGAATCGGTGGCAAAATATATAAAATAGATAAAGTAATAAGCGGCCGCTCAGGGTCTAGAATAATAAGTCTCTGAGGTTATAAAACATAACTTAAAGATTTTGAAAATGTCCAAACAGGTTAAATAAAATATAAATTCAAAAACCTCCATAGAATAATTAAGCAAATCTAAAAACAATAATTCAAATTTATGTATTGTATTGCAGCATGTAAAGCTTTAATTGTTTAAACTTTTTAAAGTCTCTAGAAGATTTCAACTATTGACCATTGTATTATTAAAACTATATTCATGTGAACCGCTCCAGCGTTCAGCACCTTTTCGAAAACCTTAAAATGTGTTATTCCGTTAGTCCAGTTTTCAATTGCGTGGTTACTTGGTTCAACAATTTTGGTTCTGTTAAATCAGTAAAGATCTCTAATTTCAAAATATATGTGTAAAGCAGTGTATTTATTTTATTTTTTAATAGTAAAACGGAAAAATATAAATATATTCATACGTGCCATTGTTCTGCTCCTCTTATTCAATTTTCAAAAACCAAATGAATTAAATCTGGTAGCATTCAGAATGAAATAACTACAATGATATTGTACAGAAATGTAATCAAATAAATAATATTATTCATTCCATTCATTTCTCGTTCGTCAATATTAAAATTAGCATTGTAGCCCTCAAATTCAATGTATACTTTAAAATCTATTTTGAACTAATTTAGCATGATTATTTCTGATGAATCCCTTCCTAACTTTTCCAATTTTACATTTTTTTCCCCCGTTTTAGAAAAATATTTACCACAACTTGAAATATTTTCTTATCTTAGTGATTATTGGAATCGCTAATAATACTATGAATTGAACAATGTTGAAGTCGTTTATGAGTAAAGCAGATGGAGTGGCCCAGCGGATTAACTCATGTGTAAAACATGCATCGTTTGGTTGCAATGTTACATGACAAAATAATTACGAGTCTGTGTCCCGATGCTGGGGGAGAGGGACTTTTAACTCTGGCATTATTCTCTCGCCCTCTGTCCTGGTCCAGCAAAAATCCCCTATATGTGAAAAAGGTGAGGAAAAGGAGAACAGAACAAAGCCCATTATGAATGAAATACATAGATGGGACGTAATTAAACAAGTTGTTATATCGTTGACTGAAGAATAGTGTAGGAAAATTTTTTAAATTTAACCTGACTCATTTGGATGCCTGTGACTGATTGGTTCCGATTTTACAGTCCTGGCATGAACATTTAATAATCCCTCTTAACATGTATTATTCAAATTAGTGATAAATATTTTGATATATCTGACCATAATTTAAGAATTTTGTTTTTCTGTTTACAGCATTCATGTGGGAGCTTTATTCAAAGCTCTGTCAACAGCTAAATGTCAAATTGTAATTCCATGCTGCTATCATCGCTCAAATTTATTACCTTTGTCAAAATTATTAAAAGAAAGTGGATTAGTTAATGTTAATCTGCTTCGAATTGCATCGGATATAAATGCTAAGCGCTGGGAGCAAATGACTTCTGAGGAGCATATGGCTCATGGGCGCAGTGTATTGTCCAGAAATATCATGCAGCTTTTTCCTCAAACTGGTAAGGTTTTTGAAAAAACAACTGACATTTTGTTGAGCCACCGTCAAAATTCAAATGTTGGGTTTTATGTTATCCTTTTAGACAATTTTTTAATGACATTAAATTATAATAATAACTAGAGTGAAGCAAACTGAATTTCAACATTAAACAATTAAATAAAAGTTTAGCTATCTTATAGACCCTGGTGCAGATCCCTTTTTATCAAATTATTAACATCCGCTTAAAACTTCGTAAATAGCTTCATCTCATCGTAACCTACAACTATTTTGTTTACAAAAATTCTCTGTATTGGCACGTTTTCAATCTGTAGATCGGCAAATTTTGTCTATTTAATTAGGTACTAAAAACTTGTAAATACTCATTTGCTTTCATATTGAATCTTAAGATAATTTGATCACTAAATTGAAAAAAAATGTGACCTACAAAAACATTGGACTATTTGGTGTGACCCCTACACCCCCAACATTTCAAAATAACAAGGTTATATAGGCCAAATGGCCTTACAACTGAAATTTCAAACCTAATTTTTGTAGTTAGATACATTTTCAGATACACCATTTTGGAATTATGCCAATGTCTTTTTGCCACATGATTCTTGGACTGAAAATGGAAAAATATTATTTATGAGTGAAATTCACTTTAAAGGACCACAGTGACTGATAAGAAAACAATTAGCAATGGAAAGTTAAGAACTTTTTACATGCTGTTCCTATATTTATTTTCACACAGGCCGTTTGTGCGAAAGGAAAGTAAAATAAATAAATAATTATTTTTTGTTAAATAATTATAAATAAAAAAGAACCAAAATATCCCAGATATTCAGACTAAATGGGCATAAATTAGAAGGTTATTGTTTTTATATTTAAATTGTTAATTTGTGTTTATCAAATTCAGATGATAAGGTCGGTCAGAAATAGTAAAAATAAAAAAATCCTCACCAAACATTATGCAATCTAGTATCTACTCTTATAAAAATGTAATCCTAAATAACACCCATTTGCTTCTATAAATTGAGGAAAGTTTATTTATTGTTATATTATTTTTTATCTTGAATTTTTGTTTTAATTTAATAGGAATATCTTTAATAACAAGCTTTCATACTTCTCCCATTTTTTTCTTGATGTGAAATTTTGGCACTTTCCCTTATCAAACATTTTTCATTTATTGTTGAAGATAGTTTAGGACTGCAGTCAAAATAAAGTAAATTAAATTTATTTTATTTTTTCCGATGTTTTAGACCTTCATCAGTGCTGCTGCTTTGGAGGATATTGGATGAGTAACCCAGTTGGTTACCCATCCGATATCTTTAGAACCAGCAGCCCTGATGAAGGCCTCGGCAAAAAGAAATTAAATATAATTTATTTAAGTTTCAACTGCAATCCCCAACAATTTTTTCCAACGGCCAAACTTGTCCCATATGATTCGATTAGCAAGAGACTGTTGTTAATTTTTATCTCAAATATGACCATGTTAATTTTCAATATTGACACAATAAGAGAAAATGTGGATATAATTGTTTTGTCGATTTCAGATAAAAATAGTATCAAGAAAAACCGTCGCCATCTTATGAGAAAGTCTGCAACAAACGACTGGAATTCTTGCTTGCAAAACTGCTTAGAGCGTAGCTCTGGTTTGAATGCAGAGAAATTGCAAACTGATTGGAATAGCTACGAGTGGAGAATCAGGCAGGTTGAATCTTTTACTTGCCTTCAAGTTTGTCTCCAAGGAGTTGCAGAAGGTCTGGTTATTGCTGATATTTTGAATCATACCTTCGGTCAACAAAACTTTCATTTCAAGCTTTTAAAACTGCTTGATGATGTAACATCGCCGAGATCAACTGCTATTATAGGGACTCGATTGTGACATTATTAAGGACTTTTCTATGAAGAAAGTAAATTAATTTAGTCCAATAAATTGAAAATTATTTCATACTGTGATGTACTCTAGCTACATCACCTATCTTCTGGCGTATATGACCTGATAGGCCATAATCATGTTACTTGCAGGAGTCCTGTCTTTCATCTTTTTACTGAACCAGTTCTGTGCTTTTTTTTTTTTTAATTACTTTGTTTATTTGTTATTATTATTCACTGACAAATTGTAAAAATATTACTTAGAGTAACTCATGTTTTATAATTATTAGTGAAAGTATTTAATGTTGAATAACTGTGATATGTACATAAATAATATGATATGTAAGACCATTGTTTAGTACCTAATATATGTACATAGATATATGTTTTTTTGTTATATATCAGTTATCTAAAAAAGATAAAAATAAAGTATATTTAGTTACTTTCAGTTATATGTTTTTCACTTAATGTACTTATATATGGTGTTTTCAAGGATAGATAAGCCCTTATAATTTTACTATTTATTCAAGTTATAACGTTTTGAGTTACTTTTATCATTTTCAAGTTATCAAACTCTAACAAAAATTCTATAAATTCAAACATATTTCCATTATATGAGTCTTTCAGAATGACTACCTTCAATTTCAACATTTTTTATTATTAATTTTAGTGATATTTCTAGTGAGACAATTTATATCCTTAGCCACATTTCTGTATTTCAACATTGCAATCACCTCCTCTAGAATCAACTTACTCACTGTCTGTACATATATTATAAATTTTCTGACTAGAAATATCACTAAAATGACTTTACTAAAAAATGTTGAAATTCTACTTAGTCATTCTGCCAACTGAAGGGCTCACATAATTCTATTATAATTTATTTTTAGTACTCAAATATAAAAACCATCATGTCCCTTAAAGACACCATGTATGTAAAATATTTTTAATACTTTATGTAAAATAAAGTACTTTCCATTAGACATATGCTGAAAAAAATATTTCTTGACGATATACCTACGATATATTTCCTCTTGATATTTCAGGTTCCTCTTTTCATAATTTTGTCATTAATAAATATCATTACAGGATATATTAATAATTCAAAATGTTAGGGGGAAACATAATAAATGTAGAAAAACAATATTGTTGGTTTACAGCAAAAAGTCATTAAGTGGCATTTTATAACCTAGACTAATGAAAAACTTTGATGAATTTTCTCTTTGTGAAATCAGAAATTGTTTATAAAAGGGTTTGTGTCATTTTAGTGCTCTTGTTGGTTTTTTTTTTTTTTTTTTATATATATAGATAAATAAGGTCATAATTCACAAAAATGTTCTTAAAAGTTTAGTCCCATCAAAAATGTACTTGGTGACATTTTGCAATATACCAACAATACATTTTTTTAAAAGAGATAAATTAGGCATCACAAAAATATATATACCATTTCTTAATATATTGAAAAAATATAATATTTTAAATATATATAAATATCATTAAATTATATTTAAAAATAACCCCATACTGGCAATAAAACATTGTAGGATTCTTAAGTGGGTTTAGTTATTGTGTTTTCTCATCACGATAAGTTGAATTTTATTCTCTTCAATTATAGATCATTAAAAGAAATAATATGGATATGCATAAGGAGATGATTGAGTTGGAAATAAGCCAGTCTATAATTAAGAGTTCCAGTTTATTCTCCTCCTACAAAATACCAACCGTGTTTGATTCCAATGCTGCGCTATTTAGATTAGAAAATGACCCCTAAGATCAAGGATATTACCTTAACAAAATAAGTAATAATAACACCTCTGATTAATTTGTCCCATGTAAGTCGAAACATTTTAAGATGAAAACCATGCAACTTGATACTATAAATTAATACCAAAAGGGATATGTTATGTTGGGGGAAAAGTGTAACTCAAGGTATATGTATACCTTGATACATTTTTTCATACATAGAAACAAGGTAGGTAAAAAATTGCTTAATCAATATTTCTTTTTAAGTGAGAATTTCAACACCATGTTTTGTTATCAAAACTGTATGTTCCCACTGAGCAGTTCTTGAATCATCATCGGTAACTGCAGTCCAATCATCTTCTAATATCGTTACATCAGTTCCTCCTTCACTTAATATTGGCTCTATAGTAAATGTCATTCCAGGTTTCATGATAAACCCCTCGTCCCTAGATGTTCCTGAAACATCTGACAAAAAGAAATAACATCAAACAAATTACTTTGCTTCCTTTGATATATAAACTATGTTATATTATGCTAATATTTCTAACAGGAAAACTAAAACAATACTGATTAAAATCATCCCACACAATAAAAAAAAATCTAGTTTTATTTTTCTCTTATTTTTTATACAAACATTTATTTTTCATTCCATAATATGAAATTTGATATAATTAACTATAATAATTAAAAGTCATTAGCTTTTTGTCACTATCCAAAACCTTTTATGACTTCATACTGTTGATATTCATTTTTCTAAGATCTTAGCTTTCCAATGGTAAATCATAGATCTATATTAAAACTTTTAAATTTGGCATTAAAGCTCTGTCGTACTATTTCAAAGCGGATAACACCTGACTGATATTAAAGCCATTTTCAAGACAATTGTAAAACTGTTAAAAATTGATGATATAAAATGACAATTCCTGTAAGTCAAATTTTAGTGAAAAAGTTTATATAATATATCTAATTTAAATACACAAAGCATCTTAAACTCCCCCTTTTTTTATGCTGTGCTGTTCACAGACACACAAATTTGTGAGATATGGTTATTTGGATGTGTGGTTATGAACAATGAGCTTCCACCCTCCCTTCAAAATGCTAAATTGAATAAATGTTTATTTCACTGACTCCTATCAGACATATTATTGAAGATATAAATACAATTGGACATGATAAAATATAAAAATTGTTATCGCTTAAAATTTTGAAAAGCTGTATTTTTGAACTTATTAGGTTTACTGAGCCTATTCTTGTTTCAAATATTGTAGTAAATTTGATCTAGCTTAAAAATGTTTTTTGTCGAAGACTTCTCCATGGTCAAAATGGAGAAAAACCGATATTAGTACAAAAATTTAGCATTTTTGAGGATATTGATAATTTTTTTTTTTTCCAAGACATGGAAATCACAATAGCTGAAATTCAAGGCTATCAAGAATTGTTGTGTTTCGGAAAATGATTCCTAAACGGTTCTATTAGAATGATAATCAACAAGAATTAATACCCAGCATATATTCCCATTAACTGTCATCGAAAATCATTCCTGGAGAGACATTATTATTTTCTCAACTAGATAAATAATATTTTAGATATATATCTTAGTAAGGGAGTTAGTTATAATTACTGTTGGTAGATAGGTTTCATACCAAAATGGTATACATCTGGAGGTCCATGAAAATAAGATCCAATACCATGTCCTATAAAAGCAGGAACAACAGCATAACCTTTTTCTTTCGCAACTTGCTCAATTACTTTACCTGAAAATAAAATAAAAACTATCACTAATAATATAATAGCATATATTTTTGAAATTAGAAAAAATATATTAGAAAAGAATAGACAATTAATAAATAGAGAAAACAAAAGGTACTACCTCACAAATGTTGCTTCACTTAGATGAGTGGACGAAACATCTCATGATCACACTATAAACAGAATTCATTTATTCTACCATATTCACTCGCTCACAAACTGGCACTACAGTCCATATAGGACCCTGGCCTCCATCAACAACTTGCTCTATTCACCTCTGTCTGTAATATATCTTCTCCAGCGGTGTACTCCTAAAGCCTTCAGGTCTGCTCTTTATTTTCCTTTATAAAGGGTAAAAACAAAATCCTTATCAAAGGTTTCGGGTACACATAATAATTTTAGAAATTCCATCAACAGTGTGATCATTAGATCTTGTGACCACTCATCAAAGTGGAGCCGTACTCGTTAAGTAGTATCTCAATGTGACAAAGATATAGCTCCAAATTTTTTTTCAAAATATTATTTGTAGAGAAAGGTAACTACTTTAAAATCTCTCTTTCTATTTGGAGCTCTGTAGTTTTAATAAACTAATAAGATTTATGAGGCTTTCATTGCCTACCATTGATTACAATGTTTTTCTATAAAAAAAAAAAAATATGACTTACCTATCACAGAAAATGGTTGACCAGGTTTACAAGCTGCAATACCAGCTTCCAATGCTTCTTTAGTAGCATTAGATAACTTAATGGCATCTGGATCGACTTCTCCAACAAAGAACATTGCAGAACAGTCACCATGTACACCATTTCGGTAAACCTTCGGAATGAAAAGTTAACTTTTCCAAATAAGACTTTTAATTCAAAATATGATAGAACTTACGGTCACATCCACATTCAACATTTCTCCCTCTTGAAGAGGTCTTTTATCCGGGATTCCATGACACACTACATTATTCACTGATGTACATACAGATTTTGGAAAATGGTGGTAGTTTAAAGGAGATGGGTAGGCTCCATGATCAATACAATGTCTATGGACAAAGATATCAATATCATCTGTTGTTATACCAGCCTGACAGGAAAATAAAAATCCAAACTTGCATTCCTTCTAATTTACTATTAAAAGACATGAATTCTGGGTCACTGAATACCTTAATAAATTCTCGCACAGAGCTTAAAATTGTCTTAGCCAATTGACAAGTATCTTTCATGGTATTAATTAGTTCTTTAGTTTTTATTTCAATTTCTTTTGGTCCTTGACTGGGTATTCCTGACTCCCAATATTCAGGCTTCTCCACTTCCTTACCAACAGTTAATTGATGTGAAACTGGGTAAGGTTGAACAATATTATATTTGTACCCACAAGATGTTCTACAAAATTATTAATATTATATCAAACCAAATATAAAGGAGATATAAATTTATAACAATTACAAAAATGTTAATACAACTAACTTCTGTGTTGAGAAAGTTGAATATGTCCTGACACATTTGAACAAATTTGTCAATAGAAAATCCGTTCTCAATCCCATGCTTGGTTTTAATAATTAAATTATTGTCAAAATGATTAATATAAAAAATTGAATATTTCTCCGGAGCTCACAAAAACGTCGTTCGGTAACGAGCGGTTTCTAAATAAAACTGGAGAGAAGCTTTGGGTAGTTTCTAAACTCAGCACTAAGATAATCAATAGGATGGTTTCCTCTAGTTCAGAAACCAAACCGATTCCATTAGTAAAACTTCGAACAACCTCCGTATAATCCTTTTACGACTACTTTTTATTCGAGCTCATCAAAAAATGACTTGGATGAGAACGATTTGATAATAATTAAGATGTCGAAGAGTACGTTCGCGACCAGCTAACAACTCGGTCTCAAAAGTTTTATGTATTAGGAATATACAAGCTTCTGGTTTGTTCTGAATCGGTGGCAAAAGTATATAAAATAGCCATGGTCAGATAAAGTAATAAGCGGCCGCTCAGGGCCTAGAATAACAAGCCTCCGAGGTCATAAAACATAACTTAAAGATTTTGAAAAAGAAAACCTCAAATTCAAAAACAATATGTCAAATTTCTAGCATGTAAAGCTGTAATTGTTTGAACTTTTTAAAGTCTTAAGAAGATTTCAACTATTGACCATTGTATTATTAAAACAATTATAAAACTATATTCATTTGAACCGCCCCAGCGTTCAGCATCTTTACGGAAACTTTAAAATGTGTTATTCCGTTAGTCCAGTTTTCAATCGCGTGGTTACTTGGATCAACAATTTCGGTTCCGTTAAATCAGTAAAGATCTCTAATTTCAAAAAATATATATGCAAAACAGTTTATTTCTTTTATTTTTTAATAGTAAGACGGAAAAATGTAAATATATTTTTTTACATTTACCATTTTTCGGCTCCTCTTATTCAATTTTCAAAAACCCAATGAATTAAATCTGGTAGCGTTCAGAATGAAATAACTACAATGATATTGTACAGAAATGTAATTGAATGAATAATACTATTCATTCTATTCATTTTTCGTTTGTCAATATTAAAATTAGCATTTTAGCCTTCAAATTCAATGTATAGTTTAAAATATATTTTGAAGTAAATTAGCGTGTTTATTTCTGACGAATCCCTTCCTAAATTCTCCAATTTTTCAATTTTTTTCCCATTTTAGAAAAATATTGATCACCACTTGAAATATTTTCTTATCTTAGTGATTATTGGAATCGGTATTAATATTATTAATTGATCAACTTTGAAGTCCGTTGTGAGTAAAGCAGATGGGTGGTCTAGAGGGCTAGCGCGTGTGCAAAACATATTTATTTTCCTGAAAATTGATCAAAGAAAAGATTTGAGTACAATTTATTTGATAAACTAAAGCAATGTAAACCGGCTTAAGGTAGATCAGTTTAAAAATTTCAATACTCTCTAATATTGCTGATCAAAAAATTTTTGCCATAGCTTAGTATTGTCAAACAATAATTTCTGTTAAAAGTAGAGGAAATAGTGAAGATTGTGTGATGCGGGCAACAAATTTTCTTACTTTCACTTAGTCATCTAAAAATGGCTTCTTTAATCATATAAGAATAAATTCTCTCCTTCACCCCTTTCTGACACCAGGATATGAACCCGTAATTTTACATTGGAAATTGAATAGCTGTAACTTCGTTAATAGTTGGCTTTGTAGGGAATTTCATTACCTTTCAAAAGACAGGCTAAACATCGTGTTTTTCGGACTCAGGAGGCTCTGAAACGTATAGATCGTTAGAGCGATTTTCACGCTACAGTCTACAGAAAAACATGTTTTTCATTTGTTGCGCGCAAGCTATTGCGTTATATTACATGACAAAATAATTACGATTACGAATTCGTGTTCTGGTCCGACAAAAATCCCCTAAAGGTGAAAAATGCGCCGAAAAGAAGGACAGAATAAAGTCCATTATGAATGAAATATTATAATGGGGCTTAATTAAACAAGTTATTATATCGTTGACTGAAGAATAATGTAGAGCAATTTTTAAAGCATTAAATACATTTGGCAGTAGGTATAACCAAAATATTCACATTTTTTAAATTAAATGTAACACGAAACTCAATCCTTTATATTTTGAGAAAATTTTAACATCGAAAAGAAATTTTGTATATTGTGTGACAATATTTCATTCATAGATTCAAGAATTATGATTTAAACTACATTGATGGATCATTTATCAAAGAAACATTGGGCAGGCTCCTAATCTCAAAGCTATGTTAAGGAACTTGCCCGTCGCTGAGATTTGTAAATAGATAAACTGAAGAAGTTAATAGAGAATTTGATTGAAACACTTCAGAGCAAGTTCTTTGTTGGTTTGAATTAATTATTTAAAAATATATTTGTTTTGCTAATTTATTAAAGAATCACAAAACTTAAAATGAAAAAAACTATGTTTTAGAATATTTTTATTCTAGTAATTTGTTTTTTTAGGATTAGTTGATACAACAAAACGAGGAGTTTGCGTTCTGTTAACTCATCCCGAATACAATAACTGTGAATCGGCGATAGATAAGTATCCATAATTTCTAATTTATATTGAATTTTCTTAAAACCAGTATGAAGTAAAATTAGTATAATTATCCAAATTTATCCAGCTTGTATGTAAGAAATCAAAGATTTTTGCTGAAGTAAGGAATACTTTTAATAATAAGAAAACGTAGCGCACTCTTATTATGTCATGTACAGATTATTTTACTCATAGTTGGGATCCGCTTTTACCTCTTTAGAATCACTACCGCGCTCTGGCAGGATCGTCCGTACTTAAGGATTACCAGCAGTTTTCGAGTCTTGCTGTGTTGATGATGAGTTAAGGTTTTCAATAGAATACGATTAGAAGTGTTCCTTATTTTCATAATGGTATGTTATTTTCTTGTTAGTTTAACAGTCATTTAAACTTTCGTATAGTTATCAAAATGCTATAAAATCCTCCCCTATGTTTTATTGAAGATTTCTCATATACATTTCTGTAAATACTCCCCTTCTTTATAATATATCTGGAGTTTTCCTAAATATTTTGAAGTTAATCGAATAATGTTATTAATTATTACAAATAATTCCCTAACCGTTTTTTAAAGATATAGTTGTTTGTTGGCACCAGTAAAAAGTAATACTAAATATGATTAAAAGTAATGTTTATATATGATCCACATATATACTTAAAAAATGTGTCACCTAAATGTATACAGTGTCACATGCCATTCTTGTTTGTTTGCAGTGTTTCATTTGTTGTATTACATTAAAGACTTTTTTTATAAATATGAACTTACAATAAGTATAATTTATTAACACTTATTCTTTTTATAGATGTACTTCAACCATCTTGTCATTTCATTCCTAACAATATTTTTTTCTGCTTCCTTGTATCTTCTGAACCAATAATTTTCTTAATATTTACCTATCTAACCTTTAATTGTTAGTCATTTTGACGACAACACATTAAATTTTAATGTGTTGACGACAACACATTAAAATTTAATATATGTTTATTTACTTAAATTATTATTTTGGTGTTATGAATTCTGTTTTTTTGTCTAGTTCCGAAACCAGTATGATTCCGACGTTACCGTTTGGAGCCCTCAGGGCCGGTTACATCAGGTTGAATATGCTATGGAAGCTGTAAAGCTTGGAGCAGCAACTGTTGGTGTGAAGAATAAACAGTATGCTGTCCTTGTTGCTCTTAAAAGAGCATCTTCAGAACTTTCAGCTCATCAAAAGAAAATTATTCCTCTTGATAATCACATAGGCATGAGCATTTCTGGCCTAACTGCTGATGCTCGTATATTGAGGTAAATATCAACCTTGTAAGGATTTAAAATATATAGATTTATTTGGAAATATAATTGTAACAAATTACTGATTGTTATACTGGTTTATGGTCTTAATATTTCCTCATTAAATATTTTTTCTCTCTTGTCCACTAAAACTTGAAGTACAAGAATTGATTTTTTATAATTCAAGGTATAGACTTGTCGTTTAAAGATCAAGTCTGTATCACTTGGGTTACCCTTTAACTTATCTATTAACTTATTAACTATTCTATTCTATTAATTATATCTATTAACTTATTTAAATAACCTCCTTTTTGTATTGCTGTATCATGATCAATTACAAATTTGATACTATTATCTATGTTATTGTTGCTGTTACTAATCTTCCTGAAAATGGATACTTTTTATTTCTAGTTGTTCTGATATTTAATTAAAGTAATTATAGTTTCATGAAGTTAATTTATTATAGAGGTGCCTATAGTCAAATTTTATAGGTATGGTGTAGAGTCTCTAGTTTGCAGATGTATAAAGGCTGGAATTAAATTGCTTGAATCATGTTTAGAAAGATACTGAATAATTCTTACTCCTTGTTTTGTGCAAAGCAGCTCTTGAAGTGAGATGGATATGGGTCCAATATACCAGTATTTTAACCATGGTACCCTTATAGAATATCGAAGGTCTTCAATCAAAATCTAGTTTACTTAATTATCAATTTTTTCATTTGTTCCTTGGAATCCTAATCATTCATTCAGATATGACGGTCACAAACAAATCTTTTTTTACTTCGTATTAAAAAAATGAAATCTAGTTCCGTTGTATATTCATATTAATTTTCCAAGTTTTAATTATAAATGTCTTATAATTCCAAAATAAAAATCTTGTCAACTTCTTATGCTTTCAAGAGGAGTATGTGCTCGGGGGAATTGTTTTTATTAATTTCAATTTGTTTGTACTTCCTCTCTCTCCCCTATTTTAGCACTCTCTGTTCTTTCAAAGGTCTATTATTATTATTTCAAAGGTTTATATCAGTCTATTCTTGGCATTGTCCCTACTGGTGTACCGAGTGCCGGCCTTAGAAATTCAGCACCCCTGGACAATGACATCACTCCCGTAAAAAAAAAAAAAAAAATTAAATTTATTTCTTAAGCTGCTTTGTATGAAACAATATTTATATTTTATTTCATTAAATATATCTCTAATTCATTTGCTTTAAAATTAGGATAAAATTAATCATTCTTATACAATTTGTATTTTTTTTTTGCCATTAATAGGTCTTTATTCCAATAAAGAAAAAAAAGAAATAATTTAAAGTCCTAGTCAGTGATGAGAAACAAATTAATGTGTCCAAATGTTATAACATTTCTCTATTATTACATACATTTTTTAATACAAGCGGAACATTGCCTTTATGACATGGAACAAAGGAAAAAATACAGTTACTATTATACATATTGAATAATAAGTGGTGGCAATGTTCTTATTCTCCTTGTAGCCATAAATATAATTTGGTACTCATAATGCAAAAGCTTTTCATTATAAATTTTCTTCAGTAGATTTGATAAATTAATCTTTGAAGTTTATTTGTATGCACTAAAAAAATACTTCTTTTTTGTTTCTCCTAAAATCGTTCCAGGCTAATTAGTTTATTGATGTTTCAGTCGGCAAATGAGAAGTGAATGTCTATCTTATTCATATTCATATGGAACTGAAATTCCTATTATCAGGCTTATGAATAAAATATCTAACATGATGCAAAGTTCAACTCAGCGCTATGACAGAAGACCGTATGGGGTTGGTCTACTGGTTGCAGGATTTGATGTAAGGAATACTTACCGTTTATATAACTCATCCTCTGAAAATTTATATTTATTTTTGTGAAAAACAAATTTATTGTGGTTGTTCATTTTTTATTCAATGGTGTTTTATTTAATTTATAATATTAATCAGATTAAAGAACCTGGTTATTATATTTTCTCAGTCTTCTTTTGTATTTTTCTCATTTTTGTAATCTATTAATATAAGAATTTCAGAAATGCTAAGTTATCAACATAAAAGCTTAACCTGAAATTATAAAAAAACAGAAAATGAAAATTCTTGACTTTATTTAATAGGGCTGAAATTTTGAACAATTTTTTCATAAAGTGTTTATTTATTAAAATGAAGTGGATGAGGGAATGTAGCGGTTCTTTATTACATTGATCTTATTTGATTTGATTGTAGTGAGCGATACAAACTCCTTTTTATCAAATTATTAACATCCGCCTAAAACTTCATGAATGACTCCATTGTATCATAACCTACCAATTTTTTTATTTATGACAATTCTCGGGATTGGGGCGTTTTCAATCTCGAGATCAGTAAAACATTGTCTATTTAACGAGTTATTAAAAACTCATGAACACCCATTTGCTTTCCATTTGAATCATAAGATAAGGTCATCTCAAAAGTCTTAAAAAAATATTGGCTTGTTAGGTATGGCCTCCATTCCAAACATCTCAAAATAATGAGGTTATACAGGCCAAACGGCCCAATATTTTTTTCTCTATTTTATGATAAAATTATCCTATGATTCAAGTGGAAAACAAAAGGCTATTCATAAGTTTTTAGTACCTTATTAAATTAATTAATTTAATATGAAATTGTCCCATTTCTGTGAATTTTTGTGGATAAAAATGTTGTAGGTTATGATAAAATAAGGCCATTCATGAATTTTTAGACAGATGTTAATAATTTGGTAAAAAGGGGTCTGTGTCACGGACTATCTGTTCATATTACTTAAGTTGTATATTGCCTATTGTAATAATGTCTTCTTTAGGATAATAATTAATATTTCACTTATTATTTTATTCACTTTAGAACAGCTTTACCTATCATTAAAATGTGTTTGGTTACATTGATATGTGTTAAAAAATAATATTCATGTCTGAGAAAAAAGTTGCTATCATTATTTGCTATGAAACCGAAAGGTTGAATCATAGCTTTTTATAATAACTGAATTCTGATCTGGTTAAAATATGTACCCATTTTTCAGCATCTCTACTGTTTCCAGCTCCCCTCTACTCGCCTTTTATTAATTTTAGTATTATATCTGTTCAAGGCCGACGGTCCTCACATTTTTCAAATTTGTCCTTCTGCAAATTTGTATGAGTGTCGTTCAATGGCTATTGGTGCTAGATCCCAGAGTGCAAGGACGTATTTGGAAAAGCATCTAGCAGACATTGGAAACTCTGGCACCCTCACAGACCTTCTTAAGCATGCACTTCGGGCTCTTAGGGATTCTTCTCCTAATGATACAGAACTTAGCTCTAAGGTATATAATTGTTTTTCAATTCTTATTTATATCATTTACAAATCTAATTTGGAATTTTCCTAAACAAATTGGGATTATCCATTTCAAATTAAGATTTTTCTAAGCCAATTTAAGAATTTTCATACACCAAATAGATAAGGTATTTTGATTGATAACTATGTGAAATATACAGAGTATTTTTTTTTTTATTATTAACTTTCTGGACAAAAAGCTTGACTGATTTAATCCACTATCATTCTTACCTGTTTATTTGTAATTGTAATATAATTAAATTATTATTTCATTTTTTTATTTGTAAATTTCTTTTTTTATCTGTTAATGTATGGTTCTTAAAACCACAATAATTTTCTTTTAATATTGTTTAAAGGACTGGTCTCAGAATAAGTAAATAATTTATTATTATTATTGTTAAGTATCCAATTCCAGATCCTTTATGGCTTACAATTATACAGGTTGTTTTAGTTTATTTTCTTCTTATTCATAGCAACAAATCTTTTCTGTTGTAGAATGTAGCAATAGCGGTAGTAGGAAAAGATACCCCACTGAAGGAATTATCTGAGGCCGACACCCAGACTTATCTGGACATGATCCTGAGTGAAGAGAGAAGAAGTGGCGATACAGCAGGAGGTAGTGACGATGCTCCTCCTCCACCACCGCCGTCCGATCCACCAGCTCAAGATCCTACACCAGTTGTGGCTATGGAAACACAATAATGTTTTGCTTAAGATATCCACTTCTATATTAACAATAATTAAATGTTTGATATAAAATAAATTTTTATTATCACTTTCGTAGTCGTTCTCTTTTATATCTTCCTTCTTTTACATTATTTAAGTATTTTTTATTTTACATTTTTTTTTTATCTTCATGATTATAAATATGAAATGAAATGAAATTAAAAAATAAACCCCTAAGAATAATAACAGAGTTACAAATTTATGTATCTTAGTCTGACATAATAAAAATACCAACTAATTTACTGTTAATTGTTATTTCAATTGTGCAATGGATTGAAATTAAACATTGTATAGATGCAAGTAACTTTACATGTTAGGGGAAATTTGAATGTGGAGTAGGTGTTGGAACAGGAGTTGTTTGAAGGAATTTGTGGACGATGATTGACGCATGGAGGTAGGAAGTGAATTCCATAAGGAAGCAGCACGAATGACGAATGATTTGCTGAAGGAGGAAGTTTTATGGGAGGGAATATATAAGTCTATAGGTTGAGACCTAGTATTGAGAGAGTGGATAGAGGAGCGCAGAGTAAGGAGTTCCAGGATGTAGGGAGGGTTTTTGGTTCAGAAGACTTGGAAAAGGAAAACACCCAGACGGAATTGTCGTCGGGAAGTAGGATAAAGCCACTTCAACTCGGTGTACATGTGAACGCCTGGGGATCCCGAAAATGTATCTTATGAAACAATTCATGAGTCTCATTTCTAGCCTGGCAGATAGCCCTCCATACACCCAAACAGCCGTAGTCAAAGTGGGGGAATACAAGGAGCTGTCTGGTTTTTAGAGGAATACAATCACGGAATCTTAGGAGTTGTTTAAGGGCAGTAATGGATTTTCGGGTAATCTGGGAGATATGGTTATTCCAGGAAAGGTTCTGGTCAAAGGTTACTCCTAGGTTTTTGACTGTAGGGAAAAAATGGATGGGATGGTTATTGAGGTTAAGTAGAGGAAAGTAAGGAAGGGAGCTGATGAGATGTCTGGACCCGATGATAATAACCTTGGTTTTATCTGCATTCAGCTTTAATTCATTTATTTCTGCCCATCTGTTGATGCAGCCGATGTCCTCTTGTAGCCTCCGGGCAGCCTCAGGCATCTCAGAAAGTGGGAATGATTGAGGAACCCTGAGAAGGGATGATGATGGAGGTTTATTCGGTATTGTAACTGTCTGAGATCGGTTGGATAAGGATAGGAAATCTGCTTACCTAGGACACGTTAAAACCAATTAAACTATCTCCAAGATCTAAAAAGTTAGTAAAAGTACTGATAATGTGTACTATTAAATCCTTGATGGTGATGTCTTGGATCAATTACTTGACAAAATGGTTAGTAATGACAGTTATTGTTTCGTAACTATTTTATTTAATTATCTATAACTTTCTGTCCATAAAAAATTTCTAAGACATTTGTTAAGATTGCTGACCATAATGAAAAGTTTCTTTCTTCAAACTAATGTATGGAAGCAAGAGGCCTACAAATAATAATTCTGTCACATTTATAATACTGTTGTCCTAAAATGCAAAATATCGACAGCCACACTGCAAAAGCCTCCCTGTAAGGACTATTTCTATGGAAAATGATGTTTTGATCTTTTCTGGTCAATCTTGTACTGGCGTATATTCTGATCCCACAAAATAAAATCTACAATGTTTCATTTCTTCTCTATGGCCTTTTATAAAAATCTATATTTTAAAAACCGGCAAATTGTGATGTAAAAAACTGTTAGTTACAGTGAAGGTTGTAGAGATTGCGTCATTACCAAAAAAACCTAATGAAATGCTCAATGAAAGGTGGTCATGTAAATACAGAATGTATTAAGCATTTTGCGCATAGATTACAGTATCAATTAGCTTTATTAACAAGGTAAAATTAATTTTTCTCATAAGCTTTGTATGTATTCTTTTTTTAAATTTCTAATAAGCGGCGGGCACTTCCAGCCCGGCGCCTCTGGGCTAATGTCCGGGTTCCCCTACTCCAAGGCCGGCGCTGCTTACCGTGGAAGTAGACGAAGCAAATAAGAGAGTGGTAAGTGGGAGTATAATACTAAACAGCCTTCAAAACAATTAAAAATTCCTGGCTGCAGAAATGCTACAATGTCACCAAATTCCAGATAGTCAGAGATAGAGAATTGATTTCATTAATTGGAAAATTTAAAAAGCTCTCATCAATACATCTCTGCTATATTGTGCCCAAATATGGAATCTCCGATACAAGAGCTCTTAGAAAAGGTCAACACAAATTTTTATAAAAAGACATTCACTTTGTAAAACAACCCGACTTTTTAATACGTTTAGAAACAGGGTCTACTTATATTGGTTTCAGTATTATGAAGTGTTCATTGAATTGGTTGGTTAAGCTCATGGAAATAGAGGAATTTAGATATCCTAAAATATGTTTTGAAAAGCCAAGAAATAACTGTTACTTAGCTAATCCTGCTCTATCGAAATATAATTGGTGTTCTCAGCTAAAAGTATTGTTAGATACTATTGGGGAAGACAATCTAGTTTATGAAACCAACTCAGTCATAATTAGAACAAATATTAAAAGGATAATAAATAAATATAAACAACATTTGCAGGGCGGTGACATTTGTGGACGGGGTGGCGGAATGTGCTAACGCGTTGTGCACAGCACCAATATATGACAAATGATATAAAAATAGTCATGAGTTCACGTGGTCGAACATTGCTGTCTGCACTCAATTTCCAATGTTTTACCCTCCTTCCTCCCAATTCACCTACCTACTGGCCCACTGACCCTAACCGTAATCCCGATATCCTCGATTTCTTTATCCACAAAGGTTTAGGTACCCTCCACCATTCCCTTGCCCATCTTGATTAGCTTTCCTTAGACCATAGCCCATTAATATTCCAAGTATCATTAGCACCTATTCCTAAACCCTCTCCACCATCCTTCATCAGAGGCCCAGTTAACTGGAAACTCTTTCATCAAATTGACCTCAGAGTAACCCTGAAAACCCCTGAAGACCTGGACAATGCAGTACATTCCTTCACTACCGAAATTCAAGAAGCAGTCTGGACTGCTTCCTCCCCTGATCACTCCTCAAAAATCCTTAAGAAACATAATTTACCTCAACACCTTCTTGACCTAATCCACATAAAACGCCGTGCCAGATTATTATGGCAACGTACCAGACATCCAGCCGACCGCCACTCCTACAATTATCACTGTAGAAAATTAAAACAAGAATTAGCCACCTTCAGATCCCAATCATTCAATTCCTACCTCACCACACTCTCTGCTCATGATAATTCCCTTTGGAATATCACCAGAAAAATCCTCAAATCCCATCATATTTCCCACCCTCTTCGACGAGGTGATGGCTCCTGGGCAGCATCTGATGAAGATAGAGCCGAGGAGTTTGCCAAACACCTTTCCTATACTTTCGCTCCTCATCCTACCCACACAGTAAAAGTAGAAGAATTCCTTTCTTCACCTATCCCACTCTCCTTACCACCTAAAGCAGTTAATCCCTCTGAGGTCAAATACATATTACGCAAAATCACTCCTCGTAAATCTCCTGGATACGACCTTCTAACCCCGCAGATCCTACGACAACTACCATCCAAAGCCATCATATTTCTAACCTATATATACAATTGTATCCTCCGAACTACCCACTTCCCTCTCCTATGGAAACATTCCACCATCATCCTTTTCCTGAAACCAGGCAAGCCTCCCAATAATACATCATCCTATAGACCAATTAGCCTACTCCCAATTCTTTCAAAAATTTTTGAAAAGATCCTCCTGAAAAGAATCCTACCCATAATAGACTCCCGTAAAATCCCTACCCATCAATTCGGATTCCGTTCCCAACATTCTACCGTCCAACAAGGACTCCGAGTTGTTGACCACATATCCTCAGCCCTAGAAAACAAGCAGTTTTGCTCGAGTGCATTTCTGGACATAGCGCAAGCTTTTGACCGGGTGTGGCACGCCGGACAGCTCTTCAAGCTCAAATCCCATCTAACACAGTCCTTATATCTAATACTCCAATCCTACCTCTCCGACCGCTCCTTTCGAGTTCGCTGTGGTACAGAATTTTCCGACTGTTATTCAATTGAGGCTGGAGTTCCTCAAGGCAGCGTCTTTGGTCCCATCCTTTACATCATCTATACCGCTGACATTCCCGTCCATCCCGATACACTCCTGGCAACTTTCGCTGATGACACTGCGATCCTATCTTCTAACTCAGATCCTGAAATAGCGTCCAGAAACCTGCAACGGCACCTATCCTTGATTGAACACTGGTGCAAGAAATGGCGCATCAAAGTCAATGAATCCAAATGTAAACATATAACCTTCACCCTTCGTCGTAATTCCTGTCCACCAGTTTACTTTAATACCATCCAGCTTCCCTTCTGCGACACAGTCCGGTACCTTGGTTTTCTCCTAGACAGACGACTAACGTGGAATCCGCATACTAGACTGAAAAGACAGGAACTTAACCGACGTTATGGCCAGCTATATAGACTACTTAATAGAAAATCTAAACTTTCTATTGAAAACAAACTACTGATCTACAAGACAATATTAAAACCCATGTGGACCTACGGACTAGAACTGTGGGGGACAACCAAATTTTCTAACATCAAACGCATTCAATCCTTCCAGTCCAAAGTCCTCCGTACAATAGTCGATGCTCCCTTCTATGTCTCTAATAAAACCCTGCACAATGACCTTAATATTCCATTTATTCTTGATCTTATCCCAGACAAATTCTCCAAATTTCATCAGAACCTTACCCATCACCCTAATCCCGTAGCACAATCCCTATCTAGCACCACTCATCCCTACAATCCTCCTCGCAGGCTGAAACGGCAGTGGCCCCGTGACCTTTTGTAACATGTATATACTGGAGTTCTGGCAATGGCCAGATTCTCCACTCAAGTCATGAGTGTCCGTGGTTGTAGCGCCCTTACTCAATCTCCGCTGGCTTTCAATGCCAGTGAAATGGTTGAGGAAGAAGCGCAGGGATCTCCTGAAGCCTTGCTTTCCCTCCACGTGTGGGGGGATAAGTATGGTTCGGAGTTCCTATGGCCGACTGTAAATAGTGTAATAGGTATGCCTGCGTCTAAGATGTTTATTTTCATTACTTTTTTTTTTTTTCTCACTATGATATTTTATTTTGTTCTTTTGTAGCTTTATATTATTTGAAGTTAGCTTATTTTTTTATTTATTTATTTTTTTTTTAATTTGTAAATATGGTGTGAATGTGCTCTCAGAACTCTATTATAAATGTCCTTTATTGAGACAGATTGTCATATTTAACAATAAAAAATAAATAAATAAAAAAAAAATTAGATAGATTTATTCCTTCTTTCTCTATAGTTGTTAAATATCGGGTTCTATTTCCATCTCTATCAAACAAAAGGTAATATAGGTCTTTAAAAGCCTTTGTGGAATTAGCTCCAGTCCCATTTAAAATACTGGGCATATTAGACAGATTTATTCCTTCCATTTCTATAATTTTTAAATATCGCGTTTTATTTCCTTCTCCATCAAACCAAACATAAAAAAAAAATATTACCATGAATGAAGTTTTTGCATAATAAACCTCAAATTAATTAAATACCAATGACCAATGGTGATAACTGTGCCACAAATACATTCTGTAGGAAAATAAAAAGGAACATAATTTGTTTCAAAATTTTAAAAATATATTTTTCAGACTGTATATACAAATTCATATTATCATTTATTAACTAAAATATATAATTTGGGATTAAAACAAATATCACATTTTAAAATCACCTATTACTTCTTGATTGGATTCGCTTTAAATTCTAAAGTTTTTCGATATTTTTTAAGTTCTTCTTCATCCTCCTAAAAAATAAAATTAATAATAATTAATTCATGATAATATAATCATAAATAGGAAGTTATAGCAAGATTATAGTGGCAAATAGGAAGTTGTGAATAAATTCCAAACCTCTACTAACTCATGAAATTATAATTTTAAACAAATTAAATTTTTTATTTATTGGAATGGTTGTTGATTAAATTTGGTGAAGATGGTTGATATTTAGTACCTGTTAAATTAAATTACTAGAGAGGTTTACCTTAATTGCCTGAAGATTCTGCATCTCATACATTTTTTCTCTTTCTTTTTTTCTCTCTATCAGTATTTGTCTATGCAAGGATCGTTTTTCGGTTGCCAAAGCAGGTGATCTTCCCTCAGTAAAATTGTTACTTTCTCTGTAAGGCCAAAATGGTTCCTTTTTTAACACGGCGGCAGATCTAGCCTTAAAGGTAAATTTAGCATCGTTTTCCTGAAAAAGAAAAATTGCTAACTTTGTGTATATAATATCTAAAATGAGATCATCTTCCCAAACTTCAAATAATTGGGTACCTGCAGGACAATTGATTATTATTTGTTGGCAATGATGATTAGAAAATAACAATAATAACGCAAAAAGTCCCCAATTCTTCTGATGCACATTTGTAAAAATAATTGCTATTATAGAAAAATGGTGGGAACGGACCTAGGTCTATGTCAATGTTTTCAGCTCCAAAACTTTCATCTAAGAAACATCTTCCCTTTTTTTCTCTCATCCAATCAAATCAGAATAAAAAAATCTAGTTTAAACTGTATTTTAACATTATTGAGAAGTCTATGCTAACTGGCATCACTTCTTCAAATTATCGGGACTAAATAGACCCGAAAATTCAAAAATTGTGTTCCTCACTGATGCAGCGTCAGTGTTACAATCACTCAGGTCGAAATGGAGCAAAAGCATGAGAAAACTTACCAATGAGCTTGAAGACTTAATGTCCTTTCACAAGAAAGGGTTCTGCAATAGATCATGGGACACTGCAGCCTCTCTGGAACCGAAAGGACAGACTAACTGGCCAAGAAGAGGGCCTCAGGCTCGCAGTTGGCTGTAAGCTCGGCCTATAAGAGGTGAAAACATTAAACAAAGCTCCTATTAACCAATAATGGATCAGCAGTCATCCAAATCACAATCCCAGAGGTGCTTTCATGAATTTACTAGACGAAAACAACTCTTAATCCTCCACTTGTGAACGGGGCACAACAGGCTCTAAGTCCACCTGTTCCGAAAGTACTACATTGGCTCCAGTCTCCTCTGGGTATGTGGGGAAGGTAAACAAAACAACAAGCATAAAATGCAAATATGTAGGTTCTACTAAGAACAAAGAAGATAGATGTGGCTATATCCAACTAAGGTGCAAAGAAAGCTTTACGGAAGGCTGGAGGACTTTAAAGAGAACTGTTGAAATCGTCATTTTAGTTCGTGACCCGGTCATCTAAGATAAGAAAGAAGAAAAATATATTTTAATTAGGTTAGACTGCATCGTGTTTGGCTGCTGTATACGACACACTGTATAAGGAGCAGATTAGCTCAGTGAGTTGGGTATCTAGGCTGCTAAGTTCAAGGTCCAGTGTTCGTATCCAGCTGATGTCAAGTAATTTTCCATCAGCTGTGGATCAACCCTGGGGCCAGGAGACCCTACTGGGGCAAACCCAGCCTCTATAAAGTGGGTACTCTTCATTAAATAAATAATTAAGGGGGAAAAACTGGCAGGTGAGCTTGATCCTGCTCGCTGGACAAGACTTAAACAGTACTTTCTAACAAAGCACTTCTATTATTTAAAAGTCTATTAGAGTTCTATTAAAAGTGCAATCTAAATACATATACAATCTTGATGTAGAGATGGTTGACCGTTGATATAATATGAGAAGGAGTTAGTCGAGCGTGCGGTCAAATAAATAAAAAATTAAAATATATTAATTATTTTAATTTTTGCCGACGTTTCCCCGCCCACTTTGCAGGTCGTCTTCAGGGCTACAAAAGATACAAAACATGTTGAAAATAAAAAATAAATATAAGTATATATAAAATAAGAAGAAGTTGTCAGATACAGAAATAAAAGATGGTATCAGAGATATAGTGGGTGACAATGTAGTTAAATATTAAGAATTATATATGTAGAAGATACAAATAAATGGAAAATAAGTAGGAATAAAAATAAGGGAGAATATAGCATGCAAGTTAAAAATAAACAGATTGCAATAAAAGATAAGGAATAAGTGTATAACAAACTAATAGAGATTACATTAGATAACTGTGGGTTAACAGATAAAGGAAATAAATACATGAATGTTAACGAATAAATGAATATTAACGAATAAATAGATTGAAAATTGAATAAGTAACTGTAACAATACTTATTCAATTTTCAATCTATTTATTCGTTAACATTCATGTATTTATTTCCTTTATCTGTTAACCCACAGTTATCTAATGTAATCTCTATTAGTTTGTTATACACTTATTCCTTATCTTTTAAGCATGCTCGACTAACTCCTTCTCACATATACAATCTTAATTCTATTGCAGTTATGTGGTCCTTTTTCCATACCAGTACCCAATTATTTAATTTAAAATAAATTATATTAACGAGAATTGAATTGTACCTTTCCAAAATTTAAAATTTTTTTGTTGAAAAATTCTTTTTCTTTGAGGTATAAGCTGTCTCTAAGTGAGCTATTTCGACATCTCTTCCCAGATCTTGAAATCTGTAAACATTTTAATTAAATTATCCATTAATTAACTAATAATTATGCAAATATTATAATAAATATAGGTCTAAGTTAAACAAACACAACAATAATTGAAGAGACAGGAAAGCTTAAAAGATAGATTTGTATTTAAATAAACATTGATTAACTATATCAATATATTCACCCTCTGTTCGTTTTAAAAGAAACAGTTAACAATTTAGTCTCAACATGTATCATTAAATTTCCACAGAAAAAAAAATTGTTAAAATTACCACAGAAAAACTATGAGGTCTGTGAATAGCCCTAGGAGTTCTGGGAACGTCTTGATTCCCTCCACCGGAACTGTGTTGACAATCATTCTAAAAACGAAAAAAAAATTAAGTTTAGGTTAAAATTCTTAAAGACATAGTTAAACAGATTTAAGCTGTCTCCTAATGATTCAAATCTATATAAAAATTTAATGATAAAATTTTAAATTTAAATTTTTAAATTTTGACAGGTGCGTTCGGTTAAGGCATCATTCCCATAAACACTGCAAAATTTTCTATGAGCTTCTGTAGCACACTTACCTTCTTTAAAATAATAAAATAAGATATACCGATAATGAATGATATTTTCTTCCATATTCACAGTGCAATAGCAAGCACATTACTAAGCCAGTTTCAACAAGAGTTAACAGATATAATTGTTGACATATTACAAACAGGATAAACAATCCACCTTAGGGATTAATTCATCAGATAATAACTTTATCGTAGCCACATAAAAATAAACAGAAAAACCGAAAGGACTTATTTGCCAACCGAATACTTCAGGAAAACAAAGATTTTATAAGATAATGCATTAGAATTTTTCTTTATAATATTATGAACACAAATTTCAGCTGTTAGTTTCTTCTCATTTTACCAATAAGTACTAAGTTCGAAAAATGATATTCAATTACTTTTAAATACATATTACTGACTATACATGTACAAAGATATTTGTCAAGAATTAAAAACATGGTTATATGCCTTAATATAATATAAAATAACATCACACATAAATTACAATTACAACTATAAATTTCATGCATAACTACTAACATTAAATCATTTTTAACCACAATAACAAAACTTAGTAAAAAGGTAATAACTAACCTCTTTAAAAAATGTTTCCACATCTATTTCATCACCGTCTCTCCAAGATTCAACATACTGCGGTGCTTCGAATTCAAATTTCTTTGCCATTGCTATAAAAAACTCCGATAAAATATTTTTTAAAGCACTGACACAAGTGAGCACAATTAACAGTTACTATGGTAACAACCTTACCAAAGAGATCACATTCCAAAGAGGAAAGGTTCAAAAATACTGAACTTGTTATTCTAGGCATGTTATTAAACTTTATGCTGAGATAATTGATGAGCATCGGAAATCCATCAATGGATTAGCGCTGAGTATAGGTACCTGTCCTTTATAAGTATCGTCGATTTATTTCAAAAAGTCAATAAGTATGTTAAATTGTATTATAAATAAAGCCTTGAGTTGTGTTAAGATCTATTCCGTATAAGTAAAAAATAATACAATTTATTTATCATACAATGGATAAATATTTCAAGTTAGAAAAAATTGAAACGGATCATAATTCAGGATCAGTTTCGTCAGAGTGGAACCATTGGAAAAAAACATTCGAGATATTTCTAGCATCAATTCATGAATAAAGGATGCAGATAAATTACTATTGCTACATAACCATATTAGTCACACTATAAATAAACTTGTATGTTATTGTATTTCATATAATGCAACTATTGATAAATTGGATAGCCTTTACATCAAGCCCAAAAATGAAATTTAAGCAGGGCATAAATTAATGACCCGTCGACAGCAACCAGGTGAGAGTGTTGATCAATATCTGCAAGTATTGCGGCTTCTCAGTTTTAACTGTAGGTTTAAAGATGTAACTGAAAATGTTTATAAAGATGAGTATTTACGTGGTGCTTTTTAAATGGTCTAATATCAAACAATATTCGACAACTGTTTTTAGAAAATTTTACAGAGTGTAGGAGTTGAGACACCCAGTAATTCGGGAGAATCTTGCATCTAATCGTGACTTGACCAGAGGGGAGTACTTCCTTAGGGTAGCCTCCTTCGGAGTTGCCATCCATCGCCAGTTCCATTGATCAACTGTGTCCTCCCTGATAATTATTTTCCATCTTCTTGGGTCTTCATCAATTCTCATCTTGAGATGTTCCGGTAGATCCGCCAAACCTTCTCTTTTCATTTTAAAGAGGTAATAGTCTTCCCGCAGGAGGAGATTGAGAGGTGTCCCCCTGCCAGTACTTGCACTGCCTCACGAGATAACGTTCTATAGGCTCTAGTGACCCAAAGTAAAGCCAATATCTGAATCGATGCTAGTCTACTCTTCTGTCGGTGCGAGAGGTTTAGGTTCCAGGCCGGGGACGCATATTTCAGAATACCCAAAACTACTCCTTTGTATATATCAATGTAGCTGGGTATCTGATCTTATATATGGTGTCTTCAAGGAATGTATAAGCCCTTATACTTTAAAGATTTATTCAACTTCAAACAACGTTTCGAGCTAATTTGCTCCTTCTAAAGTCATCACAAATTTGTATCTACGAAAATATATTCCTATATTATAATTTCATTAAAAATTCATTTTCAATACAAAAACAACATTATTCCTCGTCTCATTTTTTGCGCATTTACTCTAATGCTTGTCCATTCCCGAAACTCGGTACTACATCCTCCCTCTATTGTTTGACATTGACTTAGTTAATTAATTACATCATTTAACTAAAATAAGACTGAGACTTCAAATTTCTCGGTATAAAATTTCCTGACATGTACACTACTAATGAATGTTTATCAACATTTTTTTTTGTGAGTTCCTTGTCACATCGAAATATTATACAGCTTTGAATTAAAAAAAAAAGTTAATGGTAATAATTTACATCATGCCCGCAGCCTTTTGGGGAGGAGTGGGGACGCTTATTCTAGAGGATTGTTTACATTTAGGTTACAGTTATGTTAGGCTATCTCAATCCCCCACCACTTTTTCCTCCATAGGCACCTCAAAACTGTTAATTTTTCATATTTTATTGGCAGTATTTTAGTTTAGAAGCTTAATTTTGTTGTTTAAGTGATATGTTTAGTTTATTAATAGGTAGTTTTTTATTGGATAGTTATACGTTTTAGTGTTTAAAGTGGTAGTTTTGGTTTAATGTTCAGTGATAGGTTTCATCTTCACAGACTCTTATTTTATTAGTGATATTTTGTTTAAAAGTTTAATTATGTTGTTTTAGTAATATATTTAGTTTACTAATAGGTACTTTTTATTTAATAGTTATACATATTAGTGTTTAAAGTGATAATTTTGGTTTCTTCTTCATAGACAAAATCGTGAGTATACTTTAATTCTTTACTTTATTTTATTAATTTTCCTTTTTAATTCAGTGGTAATGAAAGAAAAAGATGGAAATCAAGTTTGTAACTTTGTTATAAGAAGCTAGTGTCTATAGTTTGAGGCTACTAGCTAACACAATTTTTATCTTGATGTCAGTAGTTTCTAGTATAAAATTGAAATTTGGTTTTCCTTTATAGTTATGATTACTTTCATCATTAAAATATGAGTATAGTTGATGATCCTTAGCTTTATTGAGATCTCTAGTAACTAAAAGTAGTTTTCTTTTATGCCAGAATAAATGATATGATTCTCATCATGACTGATTTTTAGAAATAGATTGTTGTACTGCAAAAGTTCTGAAATGAAATTATTATTTTTCTTGTTGAAATCCTAAAACTATTAATGTTTATTCAAGATGTTTTTTTATCATTTAAGGTCAAGATTATCATTTCAGGATCATCAACTACACTCATATTTTTAATATTGAAAGTAACAATAAGCAATAAGGAAAACCAAATTTCAATATTATACCTGAAATCACTGACTTCAAAATAAAAATTGTATTAGCTAATAGTCTCAACCTATAGAAATATCTTCTATAAACAAGTTTCAAACTTCATTTTAATCTTTTTCCTTCATAACTATTGAATTACAAAGGAAAATCAATAAAAGAAAGTAACAAATTAAAGGATTAAGTCATTTTGGAAACCTATATGAGCCCAAATCAACTCAGCAAGAGGTGATTTAAGAGGATTTTACATAAAGAAAAATGAGGGTAATTATTTACAAGTGGTACTCCTCCGGCCATCTTGTAAATAACCACTTGTAAATAATTACCAAAATGAATATTTAATAGTTGACCGTTGCATTATGAAGGAAGAATATGGTCCGGGGTTGCTGTCATAAATAGGCTAAATAGTGGTAAAACTATTTTATTGAAAGCCGACTTTGCAGGTCTTCTTCAGGGCTACGGTTACTGACTAGTCCAACTACAGGAACTGAGTACTATAGAACTTTAGTTGGACTAGTCAGTAACCGTAGCCCTGAAGAAAACCTGCAAAGTCGGGTCGAAACGTCGGCTTTCAATAAAATAGTTTTACCACTATTTAGCCTATTTATGACCGCAACCCCGGACCATCTTCTTCCTTTCTTACCAAAATGGGTTCTGTTGATGAAGAACACATAATTAATTGTCACATTATTAAAGATAGTATTCTTAAGGGGTTTATTGTATTTAGACTTAGGATAAATTCAATTGGTAAAAATAATTTCCCTCATATGTCTATTTTTAGCAGTAAATCTGTAAATGTATATGTGCAGCATTTATAAATTGAAATTCCTTTGTAAATAAATAAATATTCTCTGTTTTATCTATTGTTTTTTATATTCCTTTGTTGATTAAAAATGTTTTCTATTTCAAGTTAATTTGGATATTTTTTCAATCAATTGATAATTGATTGTATTTTATCCTTACAGTTTTATGTTTCACTACTAGTTATTTTTACTTGGTATATCTAGTGTGATAAAATTGAAAATATATTATAGCCAACAACCTCTAATTTCCCAAAAAAGTATTGAAAAATAAATAAAACTAGGGAAAGCTTATATTCTGGACTAATAGAAAATTCAGGTGTGACAAACATTATTACAATTTATCATATTATGATTATTAATCCATTTCAATGATAGCAGGTGTATTGATATTGGTAAATAGAAATTTTCAAATTATACAAAAACTAAGTTATACCACTCTGAAACAAATACTCTCCTACCACCAGGCTTAGAAGTAAAATGAACAAATTTTTCTATTTTAGATGCAATATGGCATAAAAGCAATGAAGGCTTAAGTACACACTATCCTAATGATATTACATTCAGTCCTCCTGCAACACAATCCTCTATATCATTAATGTACCCACTGAAGAGAAATATACTAACATTAAATTGGTTATTTGTGAAATGACAAATGTACTATTTTTAAGATACAAATGTATGGTTAAACAATTAATCTTTACATTAGTTATGTAATGTGTTTTCTGTTACTAAAAGATGCTTCTGCGAATAATGCACCCTGAACAGCTCTCAACTCAAAAGTGGTATAAATGTGTCATTTTTTAAAATAACCTATTCAATTATTCCCTAATAATAATATTTGTTATGTGATATACAATTTTAATGTTTACAATAATATACATTATTCCCATACCGTATCCCAAATAATATTTCAAGGAGTTCTGTCAATCCTTATTGACTTCACTGTTTAAGGTTTAAGCTCATTATTATTTTAACAATTTTGATTGATACTCCTGTGTTACAATTTGTAATATAATGCCTAGTAGTGAACTATATGTTTAGTTCTATAATAATTGCAGATAGCAAAATATATCAAACAAAGTATAACATGTGCCTTATTGTCTTTCTTCTGCAAATTTAAGATAATTATAATAAGTAAGATTTTAATAGAATAATATTTCCTAAATGCTGCCTATATTCTTTAACTAGTTATTGGATATTAATGAGTAAGCCAATAATCTAACTATTGGGTTTTCAAACTTGATGCCCATGTAATTCATTGTGTCATTCTTATCCTCTACTTTATGAACAGGGAATATGATGGATAAATAAAAGCTATTAGGTATTTCTCGCATTTCAAAGTCTTTATTAATAGAATTGTGTAGTTGTTTTAAGTAAAACATTGCTGTTTTTTTATTTTCAATATATTTTAACATTATTAAACTATTTATTATTTCATTTATATCTTTTAACAATGAAACTGAACAAAAGCATGAACAAAATCATTTCTGACTCCAGAAATGAAATAGCAACTAACAGTTGAAGATTAAATGCAAATGAAATTAATGACTGGAAAATGATGATGGTGGGAGAATGGTAGGATTTTCGAAAAAATATGTATGTAGAGAAACTAGGAACTGGATACTGTCAAAAATTAACTTGAAGTGCAGGATGGTGGGTAGTCGCGGGAATTTCAAAAAGTAGGGGAAAGGAGAAGAGTAGTGGGGGCAACAACTGCTAGGCGGGTAATCTAACCTAACCGGGAACTATCATTGAGGATAAGCGCCCCCACCCCAGCCCAAAAAGCTGCGGGCATGATGTAAACTATTACCAAGTTAATATTCATTTATTAAAACGGTGTGACATAAAATGGAATGGTTAATAAAAAAATATTAGTTATGATACTTTGAAAAGAGGGAGAAAAAAAATCCTTTAGAAAAAACTATGTATATAGATTGTTAACATAAAACACAATTTATTTAATCAGAACTCTCTGTCTCATAAATGCAATGCTAATTAGTAGTTATCTAGAGATTGTTTGGTGCTATGAGAAAAAATAATAAAAAAAAAAAAGTTATGCGAATCCCTCAAATGGAGATTAGAATGTAGTTATCAATACAGTGGTTAACCTGTCAAGAGATCTTGCCCCTTTCTTATCACAAGCCTGTTGTGTCTACTCTACTTTCTTAGTTAGTGGTTATAGCTTTCTAACCTGAGAGCTTTTGTTTGAACCAAATCTGTAATTTCGTCCAATTTAATGAAAATGGTTCATCAAAAAGAAACGTTTTCTTTGTTTTCCTCTAAGCAACTTAACTGTGTTCAGGGACAATACAAGTTTATTTAATAATCTTTTTTAAATTGGCTACATGGCCCATTTTAACAAGACTGATGTATATTACAAAGGTAATGGCCGTGTTAATCCTCTTGGGGATGACAGATATATTTTAAAAGAAGTTGGAGTTCCATATGATGGGGATTTCTATGATGAAGCAGCATTTTATGTACAAAGATCGAGCATAAGCTGTGAAACAGAGACAAATGGTTCAATACAGAGTAACGTGTCACAGTTCATAAGTAATGTTGAATCAAATATTTTTAAGACACAACTTGCTGGACAGAGAGGTGAAGATGAGGCCGATGTACCCTTGTTAAATGGTGCGGTAAGTTGTTTTTAATTTTATCAGATTTTAATCACTGAACATATTCATGGTAGAATAGTTACCATTACTGTTTTATTCATGTACAGAGATTGAATGTTATGCTGTCAGCAAACTTAACAATTATCTGTATTGGAAGAATACATAATATTACTTTAACTGTTATAGTTTTTTTTTTTTATTTTAGTTCTTATTACAATGAGTTTTATAGATCACTCATTTGATTCACTTCCCCTTTAGTTCAATTCAGAGGACTTATTTTTTATTGATGCAAGACAATATTAAAGTTTTTACAGGACTATTGTAATTTCTTTAAAAAAAGTAAAACATTACTTTAATATAGCTCTATAATTTAGTCTGATATGATTTTTTCAATCTAATAAATTACTGAACATATGGAAAACTAGAATATATTCCTGTATGATCAGGGAACATTTTTAAATTAAATTTTTTCCATCGTTCTAGAAAGAAACTTACGAATTTTACATTAAAGATTGAGCTAATGTGTTCTGATATTGTACAATATGAATATTTTCCAAGACTTGAAAAATGTATAAATGTAAGAAGAAATTTGACACAACTTCTTTCTTAAAGAGGATTGAGTAAAAGTTATTGATTAAACAAAAATATGGTAGTGACAGTCAGTGAGTTAAGTTAATGAAAAACTAAAGTTGTTTGGTGTGTGATGAATTATATATGTTCAAAATCAGAATATAGCCAATGATTTTTCTTAAGGAATATAGTTGGAAGACTTATTTTGTTTAACTTATAATATTTTAATTTGATTTAATTATGATTTGCAATTCTCAAAACATTATATTGTAACTATAATATTTATTTTTTTCACTGACGAAACATATATTTATATATTGTCCTCGCTTTCATTCCATTATTTTTTTAACAGTGTGGAAGTTAACGGGTCTAAAAGTTATAGTTTTCAGGAAAATTTAGTTGATTTATCAATCTTTTAGGATCAATTAAATACTCTACTAGAGTTATTGTGTTACATTATAGATATTCTCGAATTCAGAAGGTATCTATTTTCATTGATAAAGCAAGGATTTTGATTTATAAAATAATGATGAAATACTTTAATAAATTCCTGGATTTGGAATAATTGAAAATTGGAATTTGTCTTAGTGTACAATTTTCAGCCATTCGAATGATGAAAATATAAGGAAACTAAACAATAAATAGTAGATATCTATTTTTAATAAATACAGGAACAAGAGAGTTAAATTATTAACAGTTTCATTTGAACAATGCAAAACAATTGTCAGATTTACAAATATCAGACTGTCAAGGTTGTTCATAAGTTCAGAAAATGAAATAGATTAATATGAATATATTTTTTGTATTGCTTCTTCACTATTAAAGATGAGGAGGTTAAAAAAAAAATGTGTTAAGAATCAAGAATTCCAATCATTTAAAAATGTATTAATTAAATATTTAAATTTAAAATTATTATGGAGGTTGGTTTAGTGTTATTTCAAAAATTCTCTATAGTTAAATAAAAAAAAAATAATTATTTGCACTGGTTTAAAATTTCAATTTTTTTTTTTTTTTTAAGAAAAGAGAATCTTATATTCAATGTAATATAGCAAATATCTGAAAATAAGCAAATAATTGAATTTTTAATTGCCTTCGTAATTCATTTAATCCCAAGCTATACAATCAGTCAAGGATTTCCAACTGTATCAACAATCCCCGCCTTACCATTTGAAATATTTGCATAGGCCTAGTATTAAAAAAATATTAAGATTAAAACAGACAATCTAATGGAAAAAAGGCTAAAATCTATTTGTGGTACAGTAAAAAGGGATTAAGAAATTATTATATAGAAATCTATAAGGAAATTAATAAAACATTTGAAAATTCTTTCTGTACCTATTGCATTTTGTCTGATTTTGTGTTGACCCTTCTTGAAGCAATTACCAGTGAAATAAGTTATGGTTCATTAATGAATGATGTAATGTAATTTAACACCTTTGTGTTATTCACTTTGTTATTGTCAGCAATTGACTGTTTGTTTACCTTGTTCATTGTTATTTCACCAATGGCAGGTTACTATTATTACTTTTTGTTTTACATTCCTTAGTTCCTTTGTCTAATGTTACAATTTAGTTACCTCAAGTAAATTTTTTTTCTTATGTTTATATCTTTATAAACAATATTTCAAGTCTCAATAGTCAATTAACTGCAGTGTATGTTAATACAAACTAACACAATGTGATTATATTATTGATTTTTTATATTATTTGATTTTTTTTTTACTTATTAATGGTTAATAATTATTCCTCATTACAAATTTTGATAAAATTAAGAATTTATAGTTCCAAATATAAAGTATAATGCACTATATTGTCATATGCCTGCACCTTTCATTGTCCCTGTGGGTATTTTCATACCCACTGCTTCAGCAATGTTGGTTTTGAAGTGATTGATGTACTATCAGGTATGGGGTAATACTGAGCTATGAGTTTCGCCATGAAATATGGGTTAATAATGAGGTGTGGCTTCTCCAGCTACCAGATAATAATTGTCACTCAATCACCCAGTAATAAAGTCACTCAAAAACTAAATTTCATATGAAAAAAAAAATTACCGATTAAAGATTAAGCAGGCACTACTTGTGAAAACCAGATATTGCATGAATGATAGGTACCAAAAATAACCCTGGGTAATAATCTGAGAACCAAGCTCGATATTATATAAGATTCGCAGAGTACTACTTAAACTTTGCTGGGTGCTGGGATCCAGATAATAAGATAGCTTAAACACTGGGTACTCGCTCCATGAACAAATAAACCGTCTACTGGATATACGTCAGGTACCGGGTAATATCAAATAATATTGAAAAAAATTCAATAAAAATAAAATTGAATCAATCAGGGGTGGATATCAACCCAGTTTGTTTGACATGTATGTAATTTATGAAATTATATTAAGACAATTCGTTATTGGATTAATAATATTGACTGTAAAGCCACCTTAAGTTAATTATTGTTGAGTTCAGAGAATTCATCATAATTTTTAATTTACACAATATTTCTTTTATATTATCTATCAAAACAGTTTTATAATCAATGAATTACTATTATATCATCGGTTTATTGCCAGAAATCATTAAGTAACATTTCATAACCTCAAATAATGAAGAACTTTGATAAATTTTCCCTTTGTGAAATTAGAAAATTGTGCATTTGTTGTAACTATATTCACTATATTTAAAGGTTTGTGCCATTTAATGCACTGACAGTGTTTTTGTATCAAGAAATGAAATCGAAATTCACAAAAACATATTTTAATGAACCAAGTTTTGAAAGTTAATCTATGTCAAAAATGTACTTTGTGACTTTTTGCATTAAACTGATGATATATTTAACAAAGTATTCCTTTGATACTCTATGTAAAAACTAAATTCATTTATTTTTGTTTAGGAGACATATGGTCAATATCCATCAGAGTTTCCTGTCGATTATTGTAAGGAGCCAATGCCTGTTACCAATGCTCATGCTTGGAAGAAGTTGGTTGCTGCTACGACAATGTGCTTAATATTTATGGTAAGTTTCATAATTGAAAAATGTCTACTGTATATTTTATTTATTTATTTGCTTCTCTACCGAGCCTATATGGCAATACAGGATTTGGCAACAGTAAAACTTGGTTGAGTGTGTAATACCACTGCTGCCAAATTGCTCAGTTTCTTCGTGGTTTTCTAAGATCTATTTTCTTGATTCATCCTTCTATTATATTTCCATCTGGCAGTCTACCTAGGTCAGGTCCTCGTCTTCTTCAGATTCCAAGGTTAAAGTGGGCCGACCGTCCCCACCTCTGTTTTTCATCCATAAATAAATTGTTTGAATTAAGGGAAATTGTCCTCACTTACTAATTGAAGGAACTCATTTTCTGTGAGAACGTAGACTCTCGCTGCTCTCATCAATGTGGCCTTTACCCGTAAGGCCTTAAATGGGGTACAAGTCGTGGCCATGTGTTCTACAGTTTCCGGAACACCACAGGTTGGACATAGAGGATCTACTATATATTTATTTAATTCTTTTAATAGGAAAATATGTTTTAAAAATATACAAATAATTCTGTTATAACTACCACCAAGTTGCTACTCTAAGGAAGTATTTTTCCTTCATCTAATCTCAACCAGCTGCCAGATAGTTCTAACTTCAGTATTAAATCTATCAATTCCTCACCTTAGTTATTTAGTTACACATATTTAATTAATAACACATTCTTAGAAATGATATGGACTGCTTAATCCTCAGTTGTGACCTACCAAAAACTGGTGAACATGTGATCATGAACTGCAAAGCCTCCAAAGCAGGAGTCCCCAACCTTTTTTTACCTGTGGGTCCATTTATATGTGATGTGTTAGACGGAGGGCACCATGTTTTTATCAATGTGAATTGCACATGGTTTATTGTTTGTAATATTTAAAAATAAAATGTAAAGGGTATCAATAAAAAGAAATATATATGTTAAGTAACAAACCTTTTATTATTTCTTTCACTAATGATACATATTTCTACAGAAAAGGCATAAACACCAAGCGTAATGAATGTTATTAATTTTATATAGTTTTCTTATATTAGATTAACACACTTTTTGAAAATTAATTAGACGTGATATGGGGACTAGTTGAATATATAAAATAAGTGTTAACAACAGTGTCATTCATTTTTTACTTTCCTATCTATACTAATTAAGGAAAGTATTGCAATCGGATCAAATTTCTGACATGCGGTTTTAGACGGATCTATACTTTTCAGAGCCCCCTGGGTCCGAAAAACATATTTTTAGCCATTGGTCTGTCTGTCTGTGCCAAGATTTTCTCGGGAACTACTGAACTGATTTTGTTGCTTCTTTTTTTATTTTGTAGGGTTTTGACTACTGATGCCTGTGACAGAAATTCGGTGCTCCATGTGCAATAGCTTGCACGCAATAAATGGAAAACATGTTTTTCTATATACTGTAGCGCAAAAACGGCTCTAACGATTTTGATGAAACTTTCCTATAATGTTCTAATTTTATATTGATTTAGCTTTCAAAGTCTGGATCTGGTCCTGTGTTAGGTCAGGTATTCAAATGGCTTTATAGATCAATAGGCTCAAAATAATAAGATTATTTTAAAATAATGATTAACTATTTAAATTGCTCAGGATTACCATCAGTGTAATTACAAGGATGAAATACTTAATCCAATCTAATTACTATTATTTTGTAGGTTGTCGAGCTTGTCGGAGGATACATGGCAGGTAGTTTAGCCGTGATGACTGACGCAGCACATCTCTTATCGGATTGTGTAGGTTTCTTAGTTGGTTTGTTTGCTGTCTGGGTTTCTGGGCAACCGCCAACCCACCGATTTACTTATGGTTATCATCGAGCAGGTAAGTTAAACCTTGTTATAAAAATAATTGATTCAGTTTTATTTTTACCTGTTTTTTTTGCTATGTAGGGTGTTGTATTTTTATTTTCTTAAATAGTATTATTTATTATTTTCTTTATTTATTTTATTGTTGTTTTTTTCTTTTTCTGTAATAAAATATGTATTGTCAGTTAATTGCAAAAAAAGTCACTAAAGTACATTTTTGATAGAACTGAACTTTTAACAACCTTTTTGTTAATTTCAACCTTATTTATCAATAAAAAAATATAAGTGCATTAAAATGACACAAATCCTGGCACGATTTCTTGATTTTACTAAAGGAGAATTCATTAAAAGCTCTTAGCCATTTAATGTTGTAAAATGTCAATTAATTAATTAATTAATGCCTTTTTGCAATAAACTGACGATTACACTATGATTTTTAGTTAATTCTACACTATTACTGTTAATAGTTTGTTTTATTTACATTATATTATTCCATATTGAATTAATTGAAATAAGTAGCATTCTAGATTACATACAATTTTTTTCCAATCATATAATTATTTCAATATATATGTATGTATCCTTTATTATAATTATAGTATAATAGTTCAATATATATGTATAATAATTATTATTTATGATACCCTCTATAAAACTCATCTTTTGTCATTAAGTTTCAAAATACTTGCATTATATTTACCCTTACAGTCTCCTGAATAATTAAGATTATTAGAAAAATAATGTATTTCATATTTGTAATTTTTATATTCTAGGCAATGACCTATAGATGTTAACATCTGGTAAGGCAGGTTCGTTGCACTTTGTTAAATAAACCATTCTTATCTAGCCCCATCAAAGTCTTCTGAAAGAACTTTGATTCAAGATATATTTTTTTGTATATCACAGGAGATAAATAATCAGGAAGCAGTCATTTTGAGATTTGCAGACCGATAATGACCCACATGTTTGGGTTGAAACATCGGTAACAATATAAAATCTCAAAATGATTGCTGCCTGATTAGTTATCTCCTGTGATATACAGTAGAGTAGACTAACTTCCTTGATAATTTTTTATATATTCATATGGCAGTAGTTGTTGACAAAAAATATCCAAACAAACATTTTTTTCATCAGCTCTTCTACCGATCTACTACTCCTATTAGTGCACGGTGCAGACTCCTTTTTATCAAATTATTAACATCTGCCTAAAACTTCGTGAATGGCTTTATCTTTTTGTAACCTACAATTTTTTTACCCACAAAAATTCTCAGAAATGGAGTATTTTCTCATTAAATTAATTAATTTAACTTCATGAATATTTGGTTTTTTGCGAATATAACCTTGTTATTTTGATATATTGAGGATGGAGATCATGCCAAACGGCCCAATATTTTTGTATTCTACCGTTTTACTCGATTTTGTTATCAAATTATCTCACGATTCAAGTGGAAAGCTAATTATTGTTCATAAATTTTTAGTACCTAATTAAATAAACAAATTTGCCGATCCAATCAGACAAACTCCATGTCATTGTGCGGCCAAAATGAAAGTCAGTTGTTCTTTCAGAGAATAAATGAGGGTAGGGCAGCTTTCAGGCCCAATGTGACGGCATGCAAAGACACGGATGGAACTCTTTTAAGCCACAAAGATGACGTACTAAAGAGATGAGTACAACACTTCAAAGATACATTAAACAGAGGAATGGTGCCTGGAGAAGTAGGGGTAATGAAGGAAGACTCACTGAATTCTATGGAACCCCCGGATGAGGATGAAATGGAAAACGCCCTGAGGAAATCGAAAAATGGAAAGCCGCCAGGCCCGGACTAAATCCAGTCAGAGCTGTTGAAATGTGGAGCTGAAGAACTCAAGAAAGCTCTGCATGATTTAATGCGGACCATCTCAGAGAGGGAAGCTATGCCTACGGAATGGGCAACAGCCATTATCTGCCCAATAAATAAGAAAGGAGATCAAACAGAATGCACTAACTATAGAGGAATCTCACTCCTTTCGTGTGCTTATAAGCTGCTCTCTAACATTATTTTTGAGAGGATCCTCCCGTATTCTGAAAAGGAACTGGGGAAATATCAGGCTGGATTTCGACGAGGACGCTCAACCACTCATCAACTGTTCTTCCTCAGGATGATCCTAGAAAAGAGTATGGAGCGTAAGGTAAGTCACCCACCATTTATTCCTGGACTTTAAAGCAACATACAACAGCGATAGAATACAACTATACTGTGCCTTGGAGGAGCTAAGCATCCCTCAGAAGCTTATATGCCTAATCACGATGACCATGGACAGCTCGAAATGTAGAATACGCGTCGGTTTTGATGCCTCTGAAGAGTTTGAAGGGAGCAGTGGGGCAAGGGGATGCCCTCGCCTATCTGTTATTCAACCTGACAGATGAGAAAGCTGTAAGAGATTCCAGTATTCAGACTAGCGACATAATCTTCTATTGCCTGACACAGCTTCTTGGTTTTTCTGATGATATTGACATAATAGGAAGATCTGAACGGGCTCTCAGAGAAGCGTTTACAGCCCTTGAAGCAGCTGCAAGACGAGTTGGTCTAGAAGTCAATGAGAAGAAAACTAAGAGTATGAGAGTTGGCGGTGATGTGAATCTGAACTCTCCATTTGAGGTAGGTTTTTTTAAGTTTGAGAGAGTAAAAAGTTTTATATACCTTGGGTCTGAAATAAATGGCAAAAATGACATGGCTCAAGAAATACAGAGAAGCATCACAGCTGCCTATAGATGTATCTTTGGACTTGGCCGACACTTTAGAAGTAGGTATCTCTCAAATAAGACCAAGCTGATTATATACCAGACCCTTGTATGGCCTGTTTTGACATTTGGCTCAGAGGCTTGGATGATGACGATAAGTGATGAGATGAAGCTGAGTGTGTTCGAGCGAGGAGTCCTCCGAAGGATCTATGGTCCGAAAAGAAAAAAATAGGGAGCTCAGTTCTCTTCACACAGACATCGACATAGTCACCTATATTAAACTTGACAGATTAAGGTGGGCAGAGCATGTGGTCAGAATGAGTGCCTTTGAATACCCAAGAAAGTAATGATGGAGGAGCTGCATCTCGCAAGACGGGTAGGAAGGTCGAGGACGAGATGGTTGGACAGCGTGGTCTATGATACAAGAACCCTGCTTGGCGTATGGAACTGGAGAGCTGCAACAGAAGACAGAGCCAATTGGCGGAGACTGTTGGAGGAGGCCCAGTCTCGGTAACGGGATGTCGCGCCACATATGTATGTATGTATTCAGACAAACTCCAGATTGAAAATGTTCCAATTTGGAGAAGTTTCATAAATGAAAAAGTTGTTGGTTATGATGATATGAAGCTATTCATGAAGTTTTAGGCGAATTTTAATAATTTTATAAAAAGTGGTATATACCAAGGATCATATATTGATAGTTTCAAATTGACCCTGAAACAGTAAATACCTAATAAAAACAATTATTCGATTATCACATCATGTGATATGAGTAGTCCAAATTTCATTCTAATTACTTTAAAAAAATAATTATTATTACAGTATAGGTGCATATAAACATTTATGTTTAGTTTTTATATTTTACTATCTTTGGCTTTGCTTTTTATATATGCTGTAGATTTGTCAATAATTAAATAAGCAATCTGATTATTTTGTGTTAAAAGACTCAAAAATTTCTGTGTGGGTCTTCTTTTGAATTGAAATTACAAAATATAGAAGAAAAAAAAGTATTCTATTTCATTAAATTATTATTTTTAGAGGTGTTGGGTGCACTACTGTCAATCTCAGTAATATGGATCTTAACCGGGATATTTATATATCTTGCTGTAGAGCGCTTGGTCAAATCTGATTTTGATATCCATGCCGACGCGATGATGGTTGTTGCAGCTATTGGAATTTGTATTAATATAGTGTAAGTTCACTTAGTTTCTGTTGATTAACTAAATAAAAGTGTAAAGTATTTAGTATAATGTAGAATTAATTCATCTGGAATGAAATATATTCAGGTACATTATTGTATACCAGTAAGCTACTAATTGTTGGCGAACATTGAATAAGGAAAAGCCTTCATGCGTTCACAACTTGGTTTTAATGTATTTTTTTTTAGTTACTAAGGAAACAGAGTATATCTATGATTCAGCATATGTAAATTACTCTTTTAATCAAAGTGATAAGAGGGTATTCTCAATTTTTTTATTTTTAGTTTGTTTGTACATAAGCTTATTTTAGATTGCCGTTTTCCACAAATGGTTGTTATTGGCTGTCCTTTCTGCTTTCTGTCCTGTTTATATTTTATAATTCAGGGATAATGGCGAGGTTGAGAAAATTGTTTAAAAAATATGAACAATAGTAATAATAAAACAGCTGTTTCATGTTCAATTAGTGAAATGAGGTTCTATTAATATTTATCGCAGGATTGTTGATATTTAGAATTGTATAATTTCTTTAAATAATTTAATTTCTTAGTCTTGACAAACATTTTTGTACCAAATTCAGGCAAAGATCACATTTCTAACATCTTATTTAATGTGTAATTTTGTATTGATCTCAAATGATGCTCTTTTCTTTATTTTTTTTATCCAATGCCTTGATGTTTCGGCGATGTGTCTCTCACTCCTAGCTTTGGATGTAATGTCCCCTAGTCCAGGACAAGTCAATAGATGCAGGGCTGTCATAGATCCTTGTTGGAATAGTGAATATTTTTTCAATTACCTTCTACCTCGCCAGGAGATGAAGGTTGTTCCAGAGGTTCTGACATATCTATTCTATGCATATCTAGTGGTGCTCCTATTTTTTGTACAATTAATAATTAATTTACAAAATAGTAGAAGTGCCACTAATTAATTAATTATTAATCGCATTAAATGCTTCTCCTTGAACTCTAACAGTCATTTCCATTCCAACTCTTCCATGATTAATGATTTGGTTAACTTTCTTGCCTTCAAGAAAGTTATCTGTTTTCAATCTGATCATAGCTGTTTATCCAGTAGTCCATGGTACAGACCCCTTTTTATCAAATTATTAATATCCCTCTAAAACTTCCTAAATAGCTTCATCTCATCATAACCTACAAATATTTTATTTCCAAAAATTCTCAGAATTGGGACATTTTCAAACTGGAGATCGGCAATTTCGTCTATTTAAGTAGGTACTAAAAACTCATGAACACCCACTTGCTTTCCACTTGAATTGTAAGATAATATGATCATAAATAAAAAATAAAAAACCCTGCAAAAATATTGAGGCGTTTTGCCTATATAACCTCGTTATTTTAACTTTTTGAGGGTGGATGCTAAAAGGACCAATATTTTTGAAGGCCACCTTCTTTTTTTTTTTTTTGATTTTGTGTTCATATTATCTTACTATTGAAGTGGAAAGTAATTCAGTTGTAATAAACAAATTCTCTAAAATGATGAGAAATAACCAAAGTTTTAGGCAATGAAGAAATATATAGTAAAAATTCTATAAAATAAAACTGTCTTAAATAGGGAAATGTCCGGGAATTTTACTTTAACTGTCTGGTAGCCACTCTGATTTTGTACATTTGCTATGAATTTAATTTTTACATTTAAATCACCTCTTATTAATTATTATTCTTAATTGCGGCAAGTTATAATACTTTACAATAAAATAATGTATTTTTTTCATTATGATTTTATTCCTTAGCTTTCTTTTTTATATACTAAACGTGTTTTGTTTTTTTAGGATGGGGTGTATTCTTCACGGAAGCCATGGTCACAGCCATGGCAATGGCAGCATGCATTTGGAGGAAAATATAAACGTGAGAGCTGCTGTGATTCATGTCCTAGGTGATCTCATTCAAAGTACTGGCGTTTTTATTTCAGCTCTAGTCATTAAATTTTATGTAAGTCTTCCATTCGAATCTAAAACTGTAAAGTTTATTTTTTTGTTTTTTAATAATTTCATATTTTTAAAAACAGAATTTCATAAATTTAACAGATATTTCGTATAAAATACATATTTTTAGTAGAATTAGCCCGATACTTACCACTTATCCTCCGATTCTTGGGTCTTCATTAGTGGAGGTTGAAATGATCATTCCTCACCAATTCCTTCCACCCGTGCACGAATGCTTCATAGTTCTGGGTAGTTATTCTTACTTACTAACTGAGGGAAATCTTCCTCCGTGATGATGTAGAGTTCTGTTTCCCTTAGTAGTTTGGCCCTTATTGCTTCAAAATCGGTGCTTCATGGTGATATGCAGCAGTTTCAGGAATACCGCAACAGGGGCATAGGGGGTTAATTGAGTACAATGAAATAATGTAAACTTTATTACATTTATTAAAAACAGGTTTTTTTTTTTTTTTTTTTTAGTTTTTTTTTTTTTAACAAAGTAATTTATCCAGCATACGGCTTCGCTCACATGTAACTTCCCAGCTCAATTGGGTGAAAAAAAACCGATATGTCTCTGGAACTTCGATTTAGGTTTTCTCCACTTTAAATCTATATTCAGTATTTCTTATTATACTGTTTTCGTTTCTGGTTATCTTGTTTTTATTTATCCCTGATTAACTTAGGCCGAAACGTTGGCACACAACACAATAAAATGTTTCTTATTTGTGTTTTATTTCATCTTTTACTCCTCTTCCCTTTTAACCTCTCCTTCCCAACCAAATTCACTCTAGCATCAACAATATATCAACTATTAAATATAATATAAATATTTATAGTAATTTTTTTAAAAATTTAATGTGTGCTGATCTCATACCTCTCTGGATTATAATGATTGAAAAAATTTGAATTAATTATTTCACCTATTACTTAATATTACTTTGCAGCCTTCCGCTAAAGTGATCGACCCCGTTTGTACCTTCATGTGTTGTGTCCTCGTGATGTGTTCCACTGTGCCAGTGCTGAGGCAGAGTGTATGGGTGCTTCTCGAATGCACTCCTCCGCATCTGGAATATTCTGAGGTTGAAAACGCCCTTTCTTCGCTCGAAGGTGTCATTGGTGTTCATGCTCTTCACTTGTGGGCGCTAACTCCTGGTCAATATGCTGCTACAGTTCATTTAGCAGTTGGTAAGTTTATTTAACTTGATTATGTATGTTGTTTTTGTCTAGAGCACATTTAAACTTATTATAAAAAATGCATGATTAATAATTTAATATATTTATAAAAACTGCTTTACCACAGGATCTGGGTAAAAGGAAAATTGTTCCCCAGAATAGACAGAGTGAGATACCTCGGCTCCACAATAATCTCAATGAATAATGATTGGAAACAGACCAGTGTATAAAAAGCGCAAATAGAGCTTTCTTTTTTCTTTTAAAGATATTGAAATCCTAAATTAAGGGTGTACAATGCTATGATAAAGCCAGCTCTAATATACAGCTGCAAGATCTAGATCTTTAGAAACACACTAGAAAGTAGTATTGAAAGATTTGAGAGAAAAATCTTTCAAAGAAAAAAAAAAAACGATGTGTGATCAGAGTACTATTGCTTGGAGGAGAAAGACCAACAAAGAACTGTTTACAGAAACTGGCCAATCAATATCCCATGTAAATCAAAGCAATCTATCAGGAAGCCTCTACATAAAAATGAATGCATCAATAGTTGTAGGTAAGAGACCACATCGAAGGCCAAAAACTAGATGGATAGACCGAATCAACAAAGTTGCAATAGAGCTGCATGCAGATAACTGGAAAGAAATAGCCCAAGATAGATAGAAATTAAAACAAAAAATATATTTTACACTTCTATGATTTCAATAATTTTCTGATAAGTCTGATAAGATTACAATTGTATTTTTAAATCATCTTATCTTGCTGTATAAAATGGGTTCTCATTTTGTACCAAGTCTAATTGAAAAAATTTGTGACAAACTTTCAATAATTTGCTTTCTCCTCATCAGTTGTTTACATTATTAAATAATCATTCACAATTCACATAAAATGGTGAATGAAAACCAGATTCATGGACTTAAATGAGCTAAACTTTATCATCATCATGAGCTGTCATGACTACAGCTGTCACCAAGCCTAATAGTTTCCGCATCTTGTATGGTATCGCTGCTTCTTGTCCTGTGAAACAGCTTGTAACAATCTAATGTTTGGCCTTTCTATTCTTATCTTTTCATATACCTCCATCTTTCTACTAGAATCATTCAAATATTTCTTTTTTCTATAATTTTTAACTTCTTATAGAAATCTGTACTCTGGCTAAGCATGCCTTGTTAGTAATGAATAATTAATTTTTTATTTTTACAGGAAGTCATGCTGACCGAGATCGAGTCTTAGAAAGAGCTCAGACACTTCTTCACAACAAATTCTCCCTGGCAAGAACTACCATACAAGTGGAGAGGCATATCGGAGACATTATAGCTCAATGACAGTATATTAACGACATCAACATATGGCTTGTTTGAGATCTGTTCGGCGACGAGGAGTTTCGCTAAGTGCACAAATATTTTATTTGACTTCATAATAGAAATATAATTATCCGTAAAGAAAAGACAAAGAGACTTTATTTAAATATAATGCTCAACAAAGGGAAATTTGTTTCATGTTTTATCATAACTTCATCATTGTTTTATTTACTCGTGAATGAGTGATTTTTGTATTTTTGAGTTTTTAATAAATAAACAATATTTTTATTTGTGTTAATTGTAGTTTGTTAAATTTTATCATAAAAATTCTAATATCTTGCCACTTTTTTAAAAAAGCTAATGACGCGACAAGCCATTGCTTAGCACAAATCTATTTAAATTATGTACGATTATATGATACTAATAATGTTTCATTTTAAGACTGGTCTGGACCAATTAGATGAACACTTCAAGTCAAGCTTGTCTTTCATTACACCCTGCCTTTAATTAGTTTATGAAAAAAATAAGTGAGTGAGAATTAAAATAATGCTTATTTTTACAATAAAGAAAGATGACAATCCATCTATTATCATTTATTTTAAAATTAGACTTAAATAAAAACTTTTATTAATTTTCTTATTTTAGATCAAGGGTTTCCAGACTTTATGTCACGTGCTTACTACTTCCATATTTCAAATAACTGTTCATACCACCTTAGATCTTACAGCATCATTAAAAAGATAAAACTTATTTACAAACATTCATTTAATCACAAAGACTACAAAAGTATGTAGAATAGAAAATAAAGTGGATATTATTCTGCAACTAGGTTCCATTTAGACTAACAAATATGTACATTATTAAACTATATATGTATGTACTATTGGACTAAAACTCCTTTAATAAAATTCAATCAGTATATACATTCTCTACAGTAAAAATATAAAAACAACACAAAAGAAAATCGTCTTGGGAATAAAAGAAAAAGAGAGAAGCACATTAAGGTAACGGAAAAGATGGAATTTGAATGAAGAAAGACAAGGAGCATAGTGAATATTAGATTGTAGGAAATTAAAAAAACACGTGGAATGGGTTAGAAAAGAAACATTCAAAGGTTTTAGATCTGTGAGAAGAAATATTGACAACACAGGGTCTTGTTTTTTGTGAGTGGACCAAGGGTTTCAATTGTAGAAAGTAAACTGTAGAAGTAGAAAAGGATGCTGGTTGTTAATAGTTTAGTATGGAAAGGATCGAAGGACATATTGTAATATATATTACAGGAAATTTGCTTAGCCATATAAAGTTAAGAAAATCAATAGATTATCAATTTCACATAACAGCATTTATCTTTTATCGACGTTGGACTCAAACATGAGTCGAGAGCCTGTCAGGCACTTTCTCTTTAAAAGACGGGGTGCTCAGTGATGAATTCTATTTCCAATCTATCTCGTGACCTTTCTATCAATTGCATTGAAGTTAGATAAAAAATAAAAAAAGTTTGGAACGATGCCCTAAATAAAAGATGCTCATCGTCACTAAAAGGTCAAGAAAATTAAAAATAATCCAAAAAAATCTGCAAATAAAAGTGTATCCAACAAAAGTAAGAAATTTGAAAATTTCAAAGAAAGCAATACGTCATTTTTCAGCCAAAAGCATTATTATTGTTATACTTTTTTCAATGAAATACAACTTGATTCTTAAATCCTCTTCAACAATAATAAAAAATGTTATCCCTCATTGAACATCATAAAAATATATTTTTATCCATTATTTTTTTTCTCCTTGTTCATATTCCATCTGGAATGTCCTTACGTGCATGTTTGGGAAATCCTATTGTAGATTATTTTTAATTATTTTGTTTTCTTCTTCTTTGGCGCTACAACCCACATGGAGTCAAGGCCTCGTTTAACAGTAGTCACCAGTAATTTCTATTCAAAGCAACCGATTTCCAATCTCTTGTATTAAGGATGGATCTTGCGTCAGCCCCCACATCATTAGTCCAATGCAATTTGGGTCTTCCAATAGCTGTTCAGTGAGGAGTTTCTTTGGAATTTGGCTATCAGGCATCCTAGCCACATTGTCTACCCAGCCAAGTCAACCAATCTTAATAAACCTGACCACGTTACTCCTGTAAAAGTTCCTGCAGTTATGCATTTGTTCTCTGCCTCCACTCTTGCACAAACTAGGCCAAATATTCTGCGAAGAATTCTGCCTTTGTATTGAAGTAAGACCTGCTCGATCGTTTTCGATATAGTCCAATATTCTGAACCGTAGGTCAGTACTGGTCTTATAAAAGTGTAGTTTAGTTGTTCGGGAAAGAGATTTGCTTTTTATGTGTCTCTGAAGTCCGAAATAGCACCTATTGGAAGCCATTATTCTTCAGTCAATTTCTGGTCTCATGTTGTTGAAGTTTACCTGAGTACCCAGGTAGACAAGCTCTTCTACCCTTTCAAAGGTAAACTCCACTATCCGAACGCTTGCATCTTGTTTCACCGTTACACACCCACCTTCATATACTTGGTCTTGTAATTATTTTGTTTTGATGGTTTATTATGTTTAAAACAATTCATATTAAAAATAAAACTACCTTTTTTTTTTATTATTAGTTTGATAATTCTTTTTAGAGATTTCTTATGCCTCTGTTGGTTATAATATATCTTTTAGACTAAGTAATCTGTTTTTTGTTTTTTGTATAGATGATTTAATGCATATTTTCCCAATAATTTCTCCAACTCCTAATTAGCTTTCTTGTCTCTGATAAATTAACATGCAGTGATTACATCTTTTTTCAATGCACTCTTTGAATGTGTAATTATGGAGCAATATGTTAAAGCTGATTTATTTAACGAATTATTCACGGAATTTTAGAACATTGAATAATATTAGCATACAATTTTTTTTAATTGAGCATTCAATAAAAAAAAAACTTTGGAAAGTATAGGTTGTTCAGGTTCTTTTTTTTTTTTTTCATACCAATTTTTTATATATAATAATGTTATAACTATGTTTGGAATTAATTTTCTAGGTGATACTCCAATGTGTTATTTTAATAGTTGGCTTTCATTTTTCAAAAAAATATTAGCAATTTTTTAATATATTTGTTGCTGGATTGTTGTGGTTTTCTTCATCTTTTTTTCTTTATTTGTTTATGAAACTTTTAAATTTTATCATCTGATTTTTTTAGATAAATTTGATGAGTTTTTCTTTATATCTGGCAGAGGTTTAAAAGAAAAAATACTTTCATGTCCTAAATTCATTTAAAATAACTTTTAGTAAATTAAATTAATTAAAAATAAAAATAATTAGAATGTCCGCTAAATTTTATTAAATTTTTAAGAAATGATTTTGGTTTTAGTTAACATCAAGATTGGAAAACAAGTGTACTTCAATGAAAACTCCAAATTATTAACATGACTTTTTTATCTTGAAATAGGACATTGAACAACTTTTTGGGTAATAATAATATTTTAGCAATAATTTTCTCATCAGTTTGATTTTATTTTCGATTACACGTAGAGTGAATGCACTAGTTATGGACAGGTTGGACTTTAAATGTAAATAATAAGCTTCCTTGTTGATTTAAAGGTTCCAGTTTTTTCTAGATTAATTGAAGAAAAATGACCTCTATTGACAACTGTATGAACAAAGTTCCCAAAAGAAAATTTTAAAATGCCAATCATTGTTGTTTCTATAGTGCTCTTGAGATCAGTGTATTTCACATCTTCCTACTAACAGTTTTGCTAAGAGTAAGATGAACATTTATGTTATCTTATCTCTATCGTCATCTTTATAATTAAACAAATATTTTAGATTTTTTCTGAGGTATGTCCATTACTGGTACCGAACCCCTGTCCATTATTAGAACAATTGAATTCCGGGATGGGTGTCCATCACTAGAACAAAAAGGTGTTTTCTTTTTTAAATAGAGATATCTACATAACTGAATATTTTTTCAATTTTAAAGTGTTGACTAGAAAAAAGAGACCCTAGAGTTATGTAATAACCAAAAAAGAAAAATATTTCCTTAGCTACCTATATGGTGTTACCTAAACCTTGGTGTTACATTTGATCAAACTCTCTCCTGAAAACCACACATCTCCCAAATTTCCCATCGTACTATCTCTATCCTGAAACAGTTTAACCATCTCTACTACCTCCTTCCATATAAATCCCGTCAACTTCTGATTTCCTCTCTTGTGTTCCCCCACTTTAATTGGCTGTCTGGTGTATGGCGGGACTCTTGAGAGAATTCGAGATCAAACTTAAGCGTCTAATGAACTGCGCAATACGTCTTGTTTTTGTATTCTCAAGAGATATGCCTGTAATCCAGTATTACAGCAAGTTGAAGTGGCTTAATCCATTCAACCGCCATCTGTACTTCCTTGCTACCTTTGAGCTATCAGAACTCAGTGACCTTACTATATTTTTCACAGCCTACAATTTAAACATTCCATTCAACCCCGTCCCACTAGATTCCGTACTTCTGACCTCTATCCACCTCCACCGAACTGTTGCGTTTAACAAATCCTTTATAATTCAAGCTGTCTGCTTCTGGAATACCATCCCTCCCAATATCCGACGTGCACATTCAGTTTCCTCATTTAAATCTCTCCTTTTTAACCACCTACTCCTTTCCCAACCAGATTGATCACAAATTGTAGATAACAGAACTTTTTAAGGTCTCCCAGAAGTGATTTTGTTCACTTATGTTATTTTATTTTCTCATGTTTGTTTTATATATATCTGTATGTTTTTTGTTTTTTTATTCTTTCAATATTTTAATTTTAATGAGATTTGTAAATATTTAATTTAATGCATGGCCACAGTCCCAGGATAATAAAAAAAATATTTTCATTTCATTTCATTATATGTTCGTTACTGGTGCGCTTACCCTAATGTGTACATAGATTTAAGTTTTCAACCTAGGAACAGAAATAAGATTAAAACAAATTTATTTATTGTACAGTACTACAAAATAAATCATTGTACATAAATATTACAATGTAAAAATTAAGAATTAAAAAAAAAAAATTTCTTCAAGGGTATTTATAAATGTTGAAAGATTTTATGAAATGCATAACAGATTCATCATAACATATACAAAACAATTTTATGTTTAGTTTTACCTGTTCCTATACATGATTTGCATAAGTCAAACCCTCCCTTTAAATTATTTTAATTGAATTATAAATTAATTTTTTAATTTACTAAACTGGATGTCTAGGCAATGCCATGTCTGGATTATTAAAAATCTTCTGTACTTAAAACAATAGTATAAAAAAACCTCAACACATAAAT